AGAGAGAGAGAGAGAATTTTAACATTTATTTATTTTTTCTTAGTTCTTGGCGGACACAACATCTTTGTTGGTATGTGGTGCTGCTGAGGATCGAACCCGGGCCGCACGCATGCTAGGCGAGCGCGCTACCGCTTGAGCCACATCCCCAGCCCCCACAACCCAGCCTTTTAAATAAATTTCCCTTTTAAGACAGGGACTTGGGGCTGGGGTTGTGGCTCAGTGGTAGAGTGCTCACCTAGCACGCATGAGGCACTGGGTTCAACCTCAGCACCACACAAATGTAAAATATTGTGTCCACAAAAAAAAAAAAAAAGATAGTCTTATTAAGTTGCCTAGAGCCTCACTAAATTGCTGCGGCTAGCCTTGAAGTTGCAATCTTCCTGCCTCAGCCTCCAGAGTCACTAGGATTACATGCCTGGCTGGATTTTTGTTTTTGAGTGGGATCAATCCTTCATGGATACAGATGAACAACTGGATAGTTTGAAGACAACATTATACTGACTTATGCAGTTCATACAAAAGGGACATCAAAGCTAACCACAGTTGTATTCTAGGGGCCAGAGAAGATTCATGCTCTACTATGGAGTTTGTGCACTCACCTCTGTTTCCTCCCTGACATTCGTTATTCAGCTGCCTTCCCTCAGGTCAAGAGAATTCTCATTTCATTCAAGACTGACTCATCAGGTTATATCTTCTTTGGTGCATTCCCTAACAGGTGATATGAGGTGACATGTAGATATGCACAAACAGATAGTCCAGATATCCATGGTCCTACTTTTTTTTTTTTTTAAAAGATAGATTCTCATTAAATTTGCCACAGCTGGCTCTGAACTCGTGAATCTCCTGCCTCAGCCCCCTGAATAGATGGTATTTATAGGCGTGCATCATTGGGCCTGGCCTACTTCTTTTACAAGCCATTTCAAAACGGTGATATGCTCTCCAGATGCCTTACATCTGAGCCCACTCCTATTCTGGCATTTTTCAGCACCAACAGTATAAAAAAATTACTCATTTTTTGGTCAAATGTGAAAAAGAAAAGACATGAATGGCAAAAAGCAACAAACCCTTGAAGTTACTTTAGCCATAGGACTACAAACCTTCAAAGTGATATTTCTTCACAAAACTGCTGTATTACTTATTAAAACATCATAGCAAACAGCCTCAAAACTATCCATTTACAAGATAATGCAACTGGTGTAAAATCAAAGATTTCCTTTTAATTCTAAGTCTTATTTTCTTCATGTTTCCTTAGCACTCTTATAGCTTGCGTCTACTGAGCAATTATGAAAGTCAAGAAAGCCTATTATTGTATTTCCCCACGTTAATTTGTCCTTAAAGTGCATGTTGAATAAAGAAAAATGTCCACATGAGCCTACAGGCTGAGGAGGAGGAAGCAGTGAGGATGCCCTCTGCTTGCCACCAAGCCTGAGTGAGGGGGTCCTGCCAAGAACAGGAGATAAAGATGAAGGCAGCTACCACTCTGCCTTCTTGTGAATCAAAGACACTTAGCTTCAAATGAAAAGATTGAGAGAGAAAATCTAAACATACAGAGTCACCATTTTTGCCTCTTGGCAAACTACCTTCTTTCCTCTCTTTCTCAGAAATGTAATTTTCTATAAAGCACATTCATTTAAAACAATATTGCAGTCGAAATGGAAAAAAAAACTTGGGAGAATTAATTGTCATTAAAATGTGGTGTATACTACTTTATAAGCTTATAGTTAGTGAGTTATACTGTCACTAGTTGTTTGGGAAGTCTAATCTTATGAGAAAATGTTCCTCAAAACAGCAAAGAAGAAAAATTATGTTAGTGGAGAAAATGAACATGGAAACCACAACAGAAGCCCTATTATTATGGTATACATGGGGGAAAACTATTGACCTTTTCTAAGAATAGATTTCCTTATAACTTTTAAATAGATATCCTTTTAAACTTATAAAACATACTTCACTATTTTCCAATTTTTTTTGTATAAAAATATTTTTCAAACTAATAAAGATAGAAACCAGAGGACTGGACTCACATCTGTGCAGAAATATTTACTTTGTAAGACAAAAAACTCAAGATCACAGTACACAGCATTTATTTATTTAAATACTTGAAAAGGTCAATGATGGAAAAAAATAGGTTTATCATGAGAGTTTATATTCATTAGATTTATTTTACCATTTAAAAAAGTGCTGCTTCTAGGTTATTCTAGCAGATATAGAACACTTCATGACACATGCAGCTACTGTAATATACTATAATAGACACAGCCATTATAGAATGATTTATACTTTGGGAGGAAATTCCAACAGTAGTAAGGGTAACTTGTTTATTTAAACTAAAAACAGTGATAATATACAAATTATTTTTCTCATTTGATTGAAAGGGCTATAAAATTTCACATACTGACAAAGGAAGCAACATAATCACATAGAGAACTCCTCAGCTCATTGCTTTTACTTTACTGCCTCCTTAAAGGAGAGTATACACTCAGCTATACAATTTTCTAGACTGCACAACGGCTTCAAGGCTAGCCTATCATAAGTGACTGAAAGTAAATTGGGTTGGTAAGCAGACATTGACTTGTGTGTTTTTAAAAATAGAGAGAAAATGGCAAATTGTGTCTCATGTACCCAAAGGATCATTTTGAGTAAATGTGAAATAAATAAGTGATCCATGAGTAAATATCATCTCTGGAATGACTTAAACCTAGGAGAGTGAGCCAAGTGAGCATTTACAATACCATGTAGAAATGTCTAGAAACATCATTTCTAGAACTCAGTTTGGGAGACCATATTTTACCTGAATATATACATTATTTACAAAATATTCCCTTTTGGCCTCTGAAATGTAGCCATTTTAGTTTGGCTATGATGCTGTTTTCTTTCCATATGCTAGCCAATACTGTAGTTATTACTATCATTAAAATATTCTTATGCATGAATTACAAATATTAATAAAGTAACTCTGCATGTATAAATATCTCAATATTTCTAGCAGAATTTAAAGCATTCAGAATGTACATAAAAGTATCTGTTTTTGGTAGGGCCAGTATTTTTTTTTAATCATCGCTGTTTCAATAATGCTTTGTACATAGCAAACCCCAAAACTGCAAAAACAGTAGCACCAAAACTTGCTCGGAGCCAAAACGTGGAGCTCTTGAGGTCAGCTTGTGTCACATGCCTGTAGTCAGAAAATATAATTAATATTTAAAACATGGTTAGTAGGAAAATCTCACACCAGTCATATAACAGTCTACTTTTAGGGAAGTATTAGCACACTTGTCAGACTAATTGCATACAGTAATGCTTACCAAAACCTTTATCAGTACAGCCATGTATACACATTGCTTAGATAACCATCATCTTAAGAAAATAATATAATGCAGATAAATTAGTAAAAGCAAATGTTTTTGATACTACTTGGGAATTGGCATCTAAAATTTTGAAATTTCTTCACATGGTAAATGAAATTAGATAAATCAATCCATCACTTTTTAATACGACCATGGTCCTGTGAAATGAGAATTAAGGCTGGGTTCTCATAATTTTGAGGGTCATATTCATGGAATGTAACTAAGGTACAATCTTCTATCCCAGGAACCAAAAGCTATCTTGTAAGCAGTTAAGCGACAAGTGACAATACTTTTTTAAAAGCAAAGATTAAAGTCAACTTTGGAAACAGTGGGTTCCATTAAAGTTTACCCCTCAATAATCCCAAAGGGAATGGGTAAGATTTGCCAGTTTACATTAATTTGGTTACTACTAATTAAACAGAAAACAAAAACAAAATCAAAAATAAAACCCTGATGTTAGTCAGACAGGCAGTGATAATGATACCAAATAAAGGACATAATGTAACATGATGGGTTGAAAGGTAATGACATAAAAGAAATCATCTGATGCATGACAAGAACGAGGACAGCCTGTACCACAAACTGAGTTTGTGAGCATGCTCAGTTAATAACACTGCTAAGCACCCTCAAGAGTCTCAAGTATGACAGCTTACCATGAAGAGGATAAAGCTTTAAAGTAAAGGTTGGAACATTTTATTCAAGTGTCACTGAAGTCTTAGTTTAGTGAACATAACTGAGGTGATGTAAAAAACTTCCAGAATTAAAAGCTTGGAAAGCCTAACTAGTTTAGGTTATTTTACAACCAAGTTTCACAGATTGAAGCAAAAGTGAGACATCATTAAAAGACCAAGACACTGATATATGCAAGAGTATGAATTCAAATTGCAAAAAAAACTACTGTGCCTCAGTAACAGTCACAAAGATTAGATTAGTTATCACAAAATGCAGTCTGTACATCCCTAGAAACAAAATTCCACAAGTCAGTGCTCCATGCTCATCACCATGACCAAGTAACACATGCCATTCTCATTTCTCACTCTTACCAGTTTAAGGAAGAAAAAAAATCATTCCTCATATAATTATTTTTCATAAAGCATAGTGATAACACACATTCATTTTACCTTCCAAGTTAGTTCTTTCAACAGGCAATGTTTTATTTTTTTTAAAAAAAGTTAGAGAGTTTCATTTTTTCTAGCTGAAAAAACTCTAACAAGGTCAACCCATTGTTGTGGGAAATGTTACCTGGCTTCAAGAAAAAGTGGACCAGGAGATGACTCCATGAAGATGGAATCTTCTACAGAGCTGACGGCGTGCACCTGGTGAGTAATACTGCCTTCGTCGTCTGCTAACAGCATGGCACCCCACTCAGCTACCCGGGCTCTTAACCTTTTATACACATGCACACAGTTTGCAGTTCACAGAAGAACTCATGAAAGAAGGGACTCAAAATAACATCTCTCAATTAAACGTCCCACGCGTATACTAAGTTGCCACCCTATATGATGCATCTCATGCCTTCTATAATTAAAATAAATGTATTCCCTAGCAAATTGCCAAACCTAAAAAAAAAAATTCTATATGTACTCTTAAACATTCATACACCAACAAGGAAACCTAAAGCTGTCACATACATTCTATATATCACTCTGAGGCTAGTCTTGATATATCTGAAACACTAAGAGAAGTCCTTGAAAACAATACCCAAAACAGTACCTGACAACATATGATAATCACAGTATTCATTCAAACATATGATAATCACAGTATTCATTCAAAATGAGGTTAGCAATTATTAGTCATGAAGTTTATTGATGCTTCTATAATTCAAAACTATCAAAAACTACAAATATACATCTGTGAAAATTTGACTCCAACATCCCAAACTCATAGACCACCAATGACTTGTGATGAGAAAATAATGTTTACATCTCTAATAGTGTGTGCAGAATTTCAAGTGAAAGCACAGGCAAAATGTCTATTAGAGCTTTTGCTTCAGCTTTGGTTTCCCAGTACTTATCTTCACTGATAACAATTTTTACATTTGTTCTTTAATCTGGGGCAAGAAAGGCATTAGGATTATAGCTAGTCATAATCATAATGAAGATAAGTCAAAATGACTTATTTTTTAATATTTTTTAGTTGTCAATGGACATTTATTTTATTTATTACATGCAGTGCTGAGAATTGAACCCAGTACTTCTCACATGCTAGGCAAGTGCTCCACCACTGGGCCACCACTCCAATACCTCAAAATGACTTCTTAGTAAATAGTCTTTACATAGGGTTATCTGTTTCTCATAGCTCCCTTGGTTGTGTTTTAGGACAGCATTATCGTTCATGAAATAAAAGTCTTCTGACTGACAACATTGCTTAGTTTTTTTCTGCATTTCAAGATGTAACTGTATTTTCCCCAAGCTATGATATAGCCTTCAGAGGTAAAATAGACATATGTATTTACATATCAAACAGTATAGATACATACTTAGACAAGCCAGTTTAAAACTTAAGGCAACTATTAACTCAAAATATATTTCAATGGCTCCATCAATGTTATACAAATTGTTTAAGATACTTTTAGACATGAAAAGCTACTTAGAGTACTATTTTATGTCTTTACTGAACATTTAAAAGCTGCACTACCAGGCTGTATTTATAAGAGAAAGTATTTATAATAGATGGCATACTTGTCATTGCTTAGATAATTGATATTTTCTGAATACAGAATAGTGTGATCCTAAATGTGTCCCATAAGTATAAAAAACTGACTTATGTTTCTCATTTCAGGTCTCAAACAGAAGCAAAGAAACAGTTTTATAAAACTATCTAGTTCATCTCTAAACTCAAGCAGAAATAATTCTTCCACATTCAAAAACAATTCTTTCAAAATGACTCACATATATCATCAGAATAAATTATAATATCTTATTGTATAACTTTTCTTCTTTTTTAAAGTTTACTTTCTTTTCAACTATAAAAAGTAATATACACTCATTAGAAAATATATGAAAAATAAAGCAAAGAAGGAAGAAACTAAGATATCTAAATTTTGAGTACTTCCTTTTAGTTTTTTTCTACACATTTTCAGATAGCTTCAAACACAAGGTGTAATTTACATTTATATTAGTACATACTACATATATTTATATGTAATCCTACTATAAGAATTTTTCTATAGATTATAGAAATATCATTTTAAACAGCTGCATTATATTCCATCCTCCTACTCTGGCTATCTCCATTTTCTGATTACTAAAAATAATAAGCATCTTTCTACTATAAAATTTTTCTATTTTGGATACTTTTCCTTAGACCTCACAGAAATGAATATTACATGGTCAAAAATGTGTGTGTGTGTGTGTGTGTGTATGTGTGTATATAGAAAGGTTCTTTTTTGTACCCAGTGATACAGCAGAATCACCAGTTTTTCCTACTATATGTGGAATATAATCATTTAGTTCAGCAGTATCTCTTTTTAGAACCTAAGAAATAAGAACGTAAGAAATAATGCTGGAACATAACCCAAATTGATCATTTGAAGCTTGTCAGAGCTCTCAGATTCTTAGGTGGCAAATTCTGACTTAGAAGTGCTTAGGACTCAACTGTATCTTAGCTGTCAAGCTCTCTTCCATACTGGTGTGAGAAGCAACATGTTCTGATTTAGGTATCATTATAGTTTCTTCTTAATAATACAGATGGAAGAAAATGTTTCACAATTCAGGCAATTAAATGAATTGTTTCTATGAACAGTCCCTCATGGCATATGTAGGATGACCACGATCCTGTGGACTTTGCAATGACTACCTTAAAAGAAGGCAGACAAAAACACATTTGATTAACTCAACAATTTATGGTGACTATAAAGACATGAACTAAAATGCTTTATTGGCTCAATATATTTAAACAATAATAAAAAAGGGAAATTATCATTGTAATTATTTAGAAACATAAAATATCAAATTCTAAAGGGTCCAAAGGAATTAAATCTATTCTAGTTATTTCCAAATAGGGTATTTTTAATATTCTAGTTGAGATTTTTTATCATCTGCATTAGGACTTTATATGGACAATGTAGAAACTATATTGCAGAGACCTAAAAGTCTGAACATATAGAATTTAGGGAAGGGTGAAAACTCTGAAAGATCCAGATAACAATCAATGATTTCTGTCAATGGGCCTTTATTTATTTATTTATATGTGGTGCTGAGAATTGAACCCAGTGCCTCACACATACCAGGTAAGTGCTTCCATCCCTGAGCTACAACCGCAGTTCAATCAATCTTATCTTACATTACTGGCTATTATACTAAGGAAAAGAAAAATTTAGTAGAACATACTCAAAAGCAGCAAAGGTAAGACACCCACAGATTCATTTTTATCAGTTTTTCTACATTTCTCAAAAAAGAATTTGAATTTTTCATTCCTCTTGTCTTGCCATTTTATCCTTTCCAAATAGAACTCAGAGGTAAACAAATACACTAGTATGAATGGTCTTCTAATTTTATAACTCTATTTATTTATGTATCTTGAATACAAATTTTTAAAAAATAATTTGAAAGGGCCTATATAATTGTAATGCATGTGTACTTAAAGTTACTAGGGCACAGAGTTATCATATATCACCTTTTATCATTTATAATTATGTATCTCAATTGAACACTATACTGAGTTCACAAAAATAATAAAAGTTTTGTTTCTAAATAGTCTGCTATTTCAAAAAAAAATAGAAAAAAATAATTCTGGACCTCCTTTCTTTTATTCCTTCAAATTTTTTTACCTATCATTTTCTATATTTATTTCCAATAATGTCATTACTGCTAATGATATGTGTGTTTGTGTATGTATACGTATGTATGTATGTATGTATGTGTGTGTGTGTGTGTGTGTGTGTGTGTGTGTGTATATATATATATATATATATATAGTATGTATGTATGTATTTTTTCCTTTTTCTTTCTTCCTTTTTTTCCCCCCCAATCCAATGCTGGGGATAGAACTCGGCCTTGTGCATGACAGGCAACTGCTCTACAGGGAGCTATATCCCCAGCCCCAGCCCTGCTAATAATAATTCTCCTAATTGAACTGGAAGACATGAAATATTTTAATAAAATATTTCTCAAAATAGGTTAAGATGATGTACGGTATATAGTAAAGATGAACTGCAACTCCAATCATAAGCAAGCTGTTAACTGAGCATGCCCAAATAGTGTTGTACTTTGGGAAAGGACACAGATAAATGCCAGTAACAAGAAATGCTTCATTCAGCAGAAGAAAAATTCAAATTTATAAATGATCATAAATACAGAGGAAATGCTCCACTATGTAATTGTTTTTTTTTTTTTAATTTTTATTTATTTTTTAGGTGGACACAACATCTTTGTTGGTATGTGGTGCTGAGGATTGAACCCAGGCCGCATGCATGCCAGGCGAGCGTGCTACCGCTTGAGCCACATCTCCAGCCCCTCTAATTGTTAAGTAGAGATATTTGAAGATAAAATTATGCAAACTCTACCTTCCTAAGCCCTTTAATACACTAACCAAATGGCAAATTTTTTAAAAATTATGAGCAGTAGCAGCTTACTTATTTACTTAGAATGTATAACACAAACTCTGGTATAATTTTAAATTTCACTGTGTGTACAAAGAACAACCTTACAAGAACTTCCATACAAGGAGTGTAAAAGTTTCACAAGAAACTAAACAGCACTTCCTTGAATGTGTTATTTTACTATAACAGATATTTCAAGTACTCTTAGATTCCCAACATCTAACACTAAGATTCTAAGAATCCATCCTCTTCAGAAGGCAATCCTATGAAAAAGCAGTTCATTTTAGTCTGATGATAGTAAAATTCTTTCTTTTAAAAAAGAGCTTCCTTATGAAATAACATGAGTTTAAACTACATAAAGGAGGAAGTTGGGTGATTATTAAAGGAATATGAGTAAATGAAGTAAATCATTAATGAGTGGCTTAAAATAAATGTCATGTATAGTCAATTTAAAAATACATTAAAAATAGTGTAAAAATACAATGGTAGGATGGCTATCCATCATATCTTTAGGTCTCTTTAAATAGTGTGAATTATGTTCTTAGTTGCCAAAGTAAAATGCTACTATTGAACTTAAGAAATAACATGAACAAATAATTTATATGGCTAATGCAAATAATAAAATGGAATGAAAAAATATCCTAAAAATCAAAATATGCTTCAAAGGAAATCACATCAAAATAATAAATTATAAAATAAAAAACTTGATTAAAGTTTAGGAGAAGTGGGAGAATTATACATAGAAACCTAGCTAGAAAAAAGACTGAAAGTGTTAACAAAAAAAAAAAAAGAAAAAAAATAAGCGACTAAGTACCACAGACAAACAAGAAAATGAATGCCTAAGGAAAATTCATAGCACACTGCAATACAGTAACATTCTCATGCAAAATAGAAGTGTTCTCAAGTCAGAATAATAAATATTTAATAAATAGATATCCTGGGTAGTTCAAACCAACAATCAAGCTCATTCCTACACAACCAGTTTAATACTTTCATATTTTAAAAGTATTTAAAAATTAAAATTCAAAAGATGTTTTTCCCCAATAATATTCCCGAAGATTAAAATCATCTGACCACGTTAATCATCCTCCAAATGTATTTAAATTCAAAACAATTCTAGTTATTCATAAATTATTCCAAAGAAAAACATAAACCTATACAGATTTTAAGGGTGAGACCATAATTACCAAAGAACAAAGGTATGTGAGATTGATCCATGTGTGATTTAACACTACTCTAATATGTTGAATACACAATCAATTAAATCAGAAAGAAAAACATTTTTATTAGTACTTTCTATTAAAATATGTAGTGTCAGTAAAAAAGCTCAAGAACAAAGACTTTTCTTTTTCTTTTTTCTGGTAAAAGAAGAAAAAAAAAAGTTTTCAGAAATTTACTCACTGAAACTGCCTAAACTATGAACAGACGATAGCAGTTAGTTTCAATATGATGGACTAAAGTCACTAAAAATGTAACTAAAATTCAAAAGAAATATCTTAATGATACAATATTTAGAAAGATAAAGGCAGGTAACCTATCTTCATTTTCAAATTTACCCCACTTCATAGCAGGTTACTATCCAGAGCAGGTACTGGAAATATTCCAAATGAATAAATCAAGGAATTGGGGGTTGAGGAAGAGGTGGAGTACGAGAAGATAGGAGAATGTGACCTCAAACATGTATTGTATCTGGTAGTGATTTCTATCTCAGTGATGAACATTTAAATAAAATGTACTAAAACAATGTACTAATTTGAGACCAGAATGTACCTACTGATATTTGTCTATTAATTTAATTCTTTACCTATTTTTTTTTCTTTTTTAAAAATTTTGTTAATACTGGAATTGGACTAAAGAGTGTTTTTCCAATGAGCTACATCTCTAGCTCTTTAATTTCTGAGAAGAGTCTTGCTAAATTGCTGAGGCTAGCCTCAAACTTGCAATCCTCCTGCCTCAGCCTCCTGAGTGGCCTGGATTACAGGTGTGCCCAGCTGTGCCTAGCTCTTTCCATATATTTAAAGAAGTTTTTGGCCTAAATAAAAATAACAAACTTTTATAATCTTTTACAGTAAATTCTAAATCAAATACTAAGCATGGAAGTTCTGATTTCTAGAAACAAAGATACAAGACTTAGTGTTAAGTAGGAACAAAGTAAAATATATCTTAAATGACTTTTAATTAATTAATTAATTAATTAATTATTTCCTCTGCTTTTTCAGAATTAAGATATATATATATATCTAGCATGGCAGACCAATAGTGACCAACCACCAAAGGCTGCCAATATCTGACAAGTAATAGGGAAAGGAGGTTTTTTCCCTCACCCCATTATTCAAGAACTTTTGTGTGGGAAAGGAATAAATTGTGGGATAGAGGTGAACAGGGAGATTCTCATTTGTTAGCTGTCCCTTTTTCCCCTTTTTTTTGCTCTCATTTTCTTGATTCCAGGCTTTAATACTAAGATTACAAACTAGTAGCCTGTAAACATGTTTTGTTCTGATTAGTATTTTTTTAAATTGCTATTCTTTAAATATTATTAAATTTCATATAAAAATCTTGATTTGTTATCTTTTGGCTACCTTCATTCCTTTCCATTATCCATTTGGATCCTCCAGGAACTGAGTTTTGACCCCCACCCACCTACCTTATTTACCTATCTTTTTCCATACACTGGAAGAAACTTCAACATAGAACCCCTAAAATTCCACTGTACTTGCATCAAATAAATGACTGATATACCAACAGGGATAAGGAAGGAGTTCTTTGAAAAGTACACTGGTTTCCCTATTCATTCTTCTCATTCTTGATTACCAGAGATGTCAGTATCTGTGCTGACACGACTATTAAATTATTTCCAGTATATAAATAGATATGAAAAAATATACTGATTTCTCTTTGAGGATTTACTATGAGTAATTTATGAGTAAGTACATCAATTTAATGCACATCTTAACTCATTTCATTTGGAAGCTGATTAAACCATCCTAGAAAAAAAATCACCAAAAATGGAGACAGGGAATCAATCTAGTATCATGGACAATCTAGAATTAATAATAAGATATGTAGTTTGTAATGGGCAATTACTGGGAGCTAAGGTAGGTGCACAAAAAATAAAAGATCAAATACTTAGTATTTAGATACAATTACTACATTGGTGGGTCAGAAGATTGAGGCAAAAATTATATTGATTTTAGAAAAATCCTTTCCAAAATCTCTGATAAGACAAGATAAAATATGGGCTGGATAATAACATATTTTTAATTGAAAATTCCTTCCCCAAGAATCTGAACCTGTCATTGGCAAGAATTGTCTATTGGAGTATGATAGGGCTTGGTTGCTTTACTTCTCTCTCTCTCCAACCTCTGGGTAATTGACATTATTTTTTATTAATAACTTGAAAGATATGACATATCTACCAAATTTGCAAATAACAAAATATATATAATGGGACAAATGATAGAAATAATGTTTGAAATGACTGAGCTAGAACAAATGGATCAAAAAGAATATGACATTTAATAGAGATACATATGTATCTGCATTTAAGTTCAAAGATCAAATACACAATTAGAAAGGAAGGGACATCTGCTTTAACAGCACATCATACAAAAATTTTTTTTTTATTTCGCTTAACCCCCAGATAATAATATGTAGACAGTAGGCTACTAAAAAGTTAATTCATGCACTGGACAGGTGTCGTCTTAAGTGTGGAACATGACTGCCCACTGTTCTGGACTAGTCAGACCACATCTGGAGCACTATTATCTTTCCATCCTTGGTGGCACCACTTAAGAAGTACTCTGAGAACTTAAGGGGCTTTCAGATGAGACCAACCAAGAATCATGAAGTCACTAGATCATCTAATTTTTAGAAAGACTGAAAGAAATGGGGATGTTCTACCTGGAGAAGAGAAAATTAGGGGAGACATGATGATCATCTTCAATATCTGAAGGATTGCTATGTTGATGAGGGAGTAGAATAGTCGTATGTTGTTCTAAAGGGCAGAACTAAAACTAAAGGAGAGAAAGTTATAGGGAAAACATTTTAGTCTTAAAAAATAAAAGCAAAAGCAAAATCCCTCACCAAAGAAAAAAGCCATAAGCAAATAAACAGTACTCTCTCAGGAAGGCTTGCTAACAGGAGGTTAGGCCAGATGAATTCCAGAATCTCCTCCAACACTAGGATTCCCAACAGTGGAGCTCCTGAATGTTGTTTGGTTTGAACTAGCCTTGCGTTTTCTCAGCTAGTCATCATGAGGGACTCTATCTGGGTTACTCCTTTACAAGGTGTCACTCAAAGAACAGAGGCAGAACTTTACAAATCAATGTGGTAATCCCTCCAAAGCAGTCCCTGAGATGGCTGCATTCTTATTCCAGAGCTGCTAGTGCTCAAAAAACCACTGAAATGCTTTTAAAATGCCTTCAAAACCAGTTTCTGACTCACATAAGAAATAGGTAACCGTTTCATAGACACCACTATTATATTGCTGGTGGACAAAAACCATAATCATTTGGTCCAGCTGGAGTCTATTATTTAGCAAGTGTTCAATAATGGAACAAAAAAAAAACTGACCCATTTCTAATCAAAATCTGTATTTAGCTTGATCATCCATCGTAATCAAGCCCAGCTCTCAATGACATATATATGTAACTTCAAAACCCTAATCCTGTCACATATAAATTTGACAACCAGATACATATATAGGTTCTTAAATGCTCAGAAAAAATAAAACTGATTTGAACAAAGGCAGCATGATCAGAATAAGAATATAACCTTTCAAGTTCATTGCTTTAAGGGAATGTTTACATCCTTTTTTTCTCTTTTTCTTTTCAAAAGCATATTATTTTATAGGAACATTTCATGTTTTGGCTCAATAATAAGACCTGAAAAACAATACTTCACATCTCTTTTTTTCCCTTTTACATACTTTTGAGTCCTTAAAGCTGGTTCTTATCCTCACTGCCAGAAATCATGTTTTTTTCAAATAAGTATTCCAAGTACTTTTTAAAAAATAAGTAAAGGTAGGTTATAATTATAAATGGTTCAAGACTAGAGAATTTTTTCAAACCAAAATATTGTTCACATTGGTATAGTTTTGCTAAGATACATTATCTGAATATTAGCTGAGCACAGCAAAATAATCTTTTTCTTGGGATGAATGTCTCTTTTCATTACTACAAAAGTCCTAATCTATTTCTAGGATTTACAGCAAAAAGATTTTAATCTCCCTACACATATTATCTTCTAATATGAAAGGTATTTTAACTTTCCTAAGGAATTAACAAAAAAAATCCTTGAAATATACCTATTAACTTAAAAACATTATTATGGTTTTTTTCCAAAACTCAACATTGTGGTCACAGTGAGAATTTTAGTGGAAGTTAGTTGGGTGTCAGTTGGTTTGTTGCATATGTAGTGAATATCTGTATAATAAATAGTTATCCACTTTTTTTTTTTTTTTTGTATTTTAACAGAATGCCTGGTACCCAGTAAATAAAGTTAAGAACCTGTTAAGAACTGCAGTGAAGATTTTGTTCTTTACAGATTGCAGCAAGTCTGAGTTGAGGAAGTTCTGACAGATGCAAAATGTACACCTGTTGCAGGTGCACATACAGCGTAACCGGGCATGGCTGCGAAAACACACAGAAGGACAGGGTTGAGTTCTTACTTACAAATATGGCACAAGTCAGGGTGTGCCAACTTAAAAAAAAAAAAAAAGATTTAGGCATAAGCAACACTCTTTGAAGAAAGAAAAAGGATAGTGTGGGCCATGCTAAAGTTGTGCAGAATTCCACATGTACCAAAAAACAGAATAAGCAGTAATAGCTTCCTCCTCCCTCCCTATAGAAAGTATAGGAAACATTTTCTAAACACTTTAGCTTTTTTGGAGGGGGGTGGAATTATTATATGAGTTTTAGTGGAATAAGTATGCACAGCAATAGATGGCACCCTTACTAAATTAATAAAAATAAAAATTGAATAAGCCATAGCACCCATCAAAAGGACAAGGTTTGCTAGCATTTAAATAACCATTCCCTCCTCCTCCCTCAGCATACACACATGCCTGAAAACCAGGAAGGAGAAGAGTGACAAATACATAAAAGAGTCAAAAGATGAGTATATTCAACCCTGAGAAGATATGAACAAATATCGTCTTTAATTCATCAAGCACCTTGGCTCCCAAAGGAAATCAAAGTGCTTCATAAATTTCCAACAAAATATAGGGTTGATTTCATCTGCTACCAAAACACAGCAGCTAAGTATGATAGTATGAAACTCTGAGTAAGGATGTAAAAATCAACAACGAATCCAATTGAAATTAGATATGAAATTTAGGGAGGCTTTCTGACTCCTTTCTGGTTGAGTGGAGTTGCACTAGTTGGTACAGGCACATGGGGCAACCCTTATCACCTAGGCCCTATCTACCAAAGTAGGGGGTCTCCAATGACTGTTCAGTGATCGGAGCCACTCAGACATACAAAACCATCACACCACCCGTGAAGAGGCACTGGCGCAGAACCCATTCAGAAGAGCGCCTGATGATTCAATGCCATCACTTCCTGTAACACCTGATCATTTTTAGAGGCTTCTCAGTCAAAGGACTGGCCCAATCTGACTTGGCTTAGCTTGTAAGATCTGATGAGACCACAGCACACGGTAGCATGGTTGTGGAGATTAGCAGCATCCCAATAATGCCTAATTCTCAACATGGAGAAAAACAAGAATTAATTTTGAAAATTAATGCTCAAGACATTCCTTTTTAAAACCTGACTTGTGATGATGAACATAGCACTGCTACTAAGTCATTGCCAGCTGTCATACTGGAATCCATCTGTTATTTTATAAATTGAATCTGATTCTTCAACATACACAAGGCTCCACCCACCAAAAAGGAGAGATGCAAAGTATGCTTAGCAACAGGGAGATGCTTCATGAGAAGTAGTTTGGGATTAACCATATAAACAAGTGTCCATGTATGTACATTTATCATATATACACACACACAAGAATTAAAGTAAACTGTTTTAAAGATGCAGATCTAAAAACACAGTTGCAGTTATTTACAAGATTTTTAAAAGTACATTTACATAGTAAAGACGACACCATAATAAACAGGTTAAATCTGACCAAGCAGTGCGTTTCTAGATAATTACTAAATGTTAATTATAGCAAGAAAGGAGATTTGGTCACCCTATAAGAAAATGTAAACAAAATTCTACAGAAGTCATAAAGAAAAAGTAACTTACAAAGCAGTTTTTAGAAAGACCCAGATTTTTCTCAAATTCTCTATTCTATCAGTGTTGCCCATGTCTCGGGAGAGTCTGTCTCTGTAATGATCCTCTCTGTAGATAACATACATGAGAGTTTTAAAGCAACGGTAAAACATAAATAAAGTTTTGCTTATCTTATATTAATAGGAACAAGTTGTCTTCTAATAAAATAGAAATGTAAAGGTTTGTTGCATTTTTTAAAGTGTGAGTTAATGGAATACCAGGAAAATTAACTGATTTTAAAAATCTTTACAAATTAACACCTGTCTGGAAAACCTCAGTTTGTAGCAGTGTTTGATTATTACTCTATTTTACACTGTAGTTTTCATAAGAAGGCAAATAATTAGAAACTAATATAATAAAATATAGCATAAGCTACAGAGACCTGAGAAACGCACTGCCTGAAAAACTATTTTGTTACAAAACAGAATTTATACAAACACACTATTTGAGGAGAATGCCATTAAGAATCATGCAATTTTAAGGCAGTTAGTAAATTATGAATATAACCAGTTACGTGCTTGCACATATATGTATGTATAGATATATAATAAATGTACATGAAATTTGTGGCTCATAATACTTAATGCAAAACATTTACATACTGGAAATTCCAATTATAAATACTTTTTAAAATAGCACTTAAAGAAGACACAATATCCTGAAATCACATGTTCAACATAAATTGACAAAAGATTTTAGAATCCTTCACATACTCAAGGTCAATTAATCAACAAGTATAAAAATGAACTTTGTATATGGAAATGCATAAAGCAACATGATGTTAACCCCATTTTATTGCACTAAGACTATTTTTTAATGCTGGGTGGGAGGCTGTGCTTTATTGAATTATCCTGTTAAGAGAGCTATAGCCTACTCAAAAATATACAAACATTGTAAGAAGCACTGTTTATATTATTTTACTATGGTACCCAAACCAAACTTGGATTTGCTCAAATTTGTACCTTCTCATTACAAAGTCTCTTTCTGTTGCTGAACAACTTCTATATGACAAAGATTCCCCCCTCATGGCTAATAATGGCATGCAATGTTATTATGAACCATGCAACATGAAAATGAAGACAGAGCAGGTACTTACGGGTACATGGCCATTGTTGTCAGTTTAACAAAGATATCCTTACTAGGTGCATCAGCAGTATTGCAAGTGAAGGCTTGAGGTGGAGGCATTTTGTGTTTCCTGCAGAAATCAGTAGGTGAGATACTATATTCTTGTTTAACTTCATGCAGGTCTGATTTTGCAGCTATGATTAAACAGGGTATTCTGCTGTCCATAAAGTGTTGCTATGAAATAAAAAAATGAAATCAAAATCTGATGAAGAATTCAAAAGTTACTATTCAATTCAATGTGAACTAAAAAATTTCTCTGAATAGGCAAAGTAACAATAGTTTCAAAGAGGAAAAATGACCCAAGAGGTAAAGTTTGGTAGTGGCCTAAGGACAATCTGATATAATTAATATAATCGATTAGCCCAACTTTTCCAATATAGGTAACAAAAGAAACCAATCCTAACTCTTTAGATTCATTATAATTTTAAAATATATTTCTTAAATTAAAAAAAAAATAGGGATTAGGGTTGTGGCTCAGTGGTAGAGCACTTGCCTAGCACGTGCAAGGTGCTGGGTTTGATCCTATGTACCACATAAAAATAAATAAAATAAAAGGTATCGTATCCACTACAACTAAATTTAAAAAAAAAAAAAAACACAGTAAACATTTTGAAATGAGAAATCTGCCTAACTTCTAAACTAAAAATGACTATTTTCATTTTTTTATATTACCTCTAATCCTTGAGTACTTGCATTTATATATGTTTATATAGTTGCAGTCATGTTAGGTATAACTCTTTAAAAATGTAACACTGTATCTCCCCTATTTTTCAGAATTCAGAACTATCACTTTTCATGGTTGCTTAATCTTCTAGATTATTTTATCATAATATAAAAAACTATCTTTTTTTCTTTTCTTTTGGTACCAGGGATTGAACTTAGGGACACTCAGCCACTGAGCCTCATGCCCAGCCCTATTTTTTATTTTGTTTAGAGACAAGGTCTCACTGATTTGCTTAGCGCCTTGATAAATTGCTGAGGCTGGCTTTGAACTCGCAAACTCCTGTTTTCACCTCCTGAGCTGCTGGGATTACAGGCATACACCACCTCACCCGGCTAGAAAACCATCTTTTAATAGTGTTAGATATCTGGAGTATTTTATTTTCAGGCTATTAAAAATAACACTAGAATAAATACCTTTCTATTTGTAGCTTTTTCCTCCTACTGAATCTTGCTGATAATCTCAAAGTGACTGATACACTTTCCAAGCCTCTGGTTTATCCCCTTGCTCTGGCTGTTATTCTTGGGTAAATGGCAATACATACTCCACATGCATTCCTAACAGCTAAGAAAACCCTCCATTAAAGCAAAAGTTCTTAACCAGGAATGCAAATCAGAATCACGTGTGGAAGAAAATTTTTAAAGTACATATGTCTGGGACTCTACCATTGCAGAATAAAACCAGAACCTTCAGGAATAGGGCAAAGATGTATATATTTTTTAAAAGCTCCACCAATGATCTTGTTGCATTTTTCTGGTTAGGAAACATCATGAAATTCATTAAAACCCCATATAAAATTATATTTAATCATAGTCTATAAGAACTACAAACCTTAAAAATCCTGGCGCAGTATTCAAAGGATTTGGGGTTAGTGACATCATATACCAGGCATACAACATCACAAATGATCTCAGCCTCAGTTAGAAACTCTGATTCTGAGATATCATGCAACTGGTAAAAAGAAAAAGATAATGAGAAACACAAGTATCACAATTTTGATAAGGTCATGATGTATTATAATTGTTTGGTTGGACATCCTAATAAAAAACTCCTGGTTAATCATAACTTTTCAGACCATTTTTAGAAGTAGAAAGTATAAACAAACAAGTATTTTTTTGCTGATTTTGTGCATTAAAAATGGTGGTGATTAAGAATCTACAGAAGCTAGCATTCAGTGACTGACTGATGTGCTGCTGGCAAGCCTTTTCTGTATATTGTCTACACTCTATAGATAGGGAAACAGGTTAGAATAAGTCAAGTACAAAAGACAACGTACCTAAGAAGTCATCAGACCAAAATGTGGACTCAGATATAATTGCCAAGTGTATTATTTTTCTTACCACACTAACTTTTCTCCTAACAAAACCACTAAGCAAAAGACTTTTTAAGGGCTGGGGATATGGCTCAAACGGGAGCGCACTCGTCTGGCATGCGTGCAGCCCGGGTTCGATACTCAGCACCACATACCAACAAAGATGTTGTGTCCGCCGAGAACTAAAAAATAAATATTAACAAAATTCTCTCCTCTCTCCTCTCTCTCTCTCTCTCTCTCTCTCTCCTCTCTCTCACTCTCTCTTTAAAAAAAAAAAAAGATTTTTTAATTAAAGTCATTTGATTGTACTGCATTGCCTTATCTTTTCAATGTTTATTATATTTCCTGAAGAAATATCCTGGGCTGGGGATATAGCTCAGTGGTACTGCATGTGCTTAGGCCCTGAGTTCAATCCTTAATACTGGGGGAAAAAAAAGAAGCTGTGACTGAATATATTCAAATAAAACACTATTATAGCATGCATAGTCAGAGACATGAAAGATACAACTTGCAAAAATAGTGTAATAATAATAAAACAGGGGGCTGGGGATGTGGCTCAAGTGGTAGTGCGCTCGCCTAGCATGCGTGAGGCACTGGGTTCGATTCTCAGCACCACATAAATGTAAAATAAAGATATTGTGTCCACCTTAAAAAAAAAACAACTAAGAAACAAATATTTAAAAAATTAAAAAATAATAAAACAGGAAAATTAACAGTCAACAATATTAACTAAGTACCTAATATCTAAAACTATACTTATAGGAGACTAGGAGACAAAGGGATGTAATAAGAGCTGACAAACATCAGAAAGAGTAAAATATATGTAATATTCAATGTGATAATTTGGTAAAATAAATATTTCCAAAAAGAAATAGACAAATGAATTTTCTAGTATGTCTATTATTTGTTAGAAACTTTTCATTGAGGAGCTAACTTATTAAGAAATAAGCTCAGAGAGAATAAGCCACTTGCCCAAGGTCACAGAACTTATCAATGGTGGACCAAGGTTATATTGAACCTCTTTTTACTGTATTTTGTGGTATCTTTTCAGTCAGATCCTTTCATACATTTTTATGCTATACTCCTTCCTATTAAGTAGATAAACTTGATTCAGATTAAAGGTAAACAACCAAGCATCAGCACTGTTTTCATATTAATTTTTAGTGAATAGCAGTAGAATTTTTAAAAAGTCAAAATGGGAGACTAAAAAGTAAGTTCATTTTCTTCTGTTTTACTTTCTGCAGGTGATTTTTTTTTACTTATATGTATATTCATGTAATAATCACATAGATCAAAGGAATTAATATTCTAAGAAACAAACCAGGAGGGGGAGAAATCATACACAGATTCTACATTCAGACATTAAATTAAAGTCATTTTGTTTCTGTCATTTTAAAATGTACCAATTAAAATTTTTATATTGAGAATTTCTTACCAACAAGTATTTCTCTTGTCCATATACATAAACAGTATTAATTGCATAGTAGGATTTATGATCGTCGCGGATTTTCTTCTGTCTCTGAAAACAGAACCAAACATCTCAATATTTATAGGAAGGAATTACTAGTTTTCATCAATACACACGAGTGTAGGTGGGTTATAAAAGGGCATTCTTCTCTATACTAAATACTATTTATCAGTATAAAAGGGATGTTAATTTTATGTTTTTTAGTTTTTAGTGTCTAAGAAAAAATATGCATTTGTTTTGCACAAAGCAAAAGCAGTAGGTTAAGAGGAAGTAAACTGTATTTTTGAAAGTAGATTCTAGAGTCATTGCTGACAATTCACATTACACTATAGTTTGGTCTGACATTGGCCTCATCTGGAAATATGTCAGTTTTACTCAAAGTAAACAGAACTAGGTATTAGTATTCAATTTGAAAGATTTACCATGCATTTATTTCCTGCCAAGGACTATTTGAGGTGCTTTCGTATGTGTAGTCATTTAATCATCATCTAAATAACTGTTTTGTTTTTTTTTAAATGAGGGGTGTGCTCAGGAGAGGAGACCTGATGAATGGCTTCTCTGTTTACAACACACCCAACAGAAATCTGGGTTTACTCATCATAGGAAGCAGAATATATTGGCCTTCCTGTGACATCATGCCCTATACATGTTAAAACAAAAACAAAAACAAAAAAAAAAGAAGAAGAAGAAGAAAAAGAAAAAATGCAAATGAGAGCAGGACACAGTGGCACATGCATATTAATCCCAGCTACTTGGGAAGCTAGGGGAGGAGGACAGTAAGGCCAGCCTCAGCAATCAAGCAATACCCTGTCTCAAAATAAAAAACAAAAAATAGAAGGGTTGAGGATGCAGCTCAAAGGTAGAGCATGCTTTCTGGGTTCAATCTCCAGTTCAACCACCAAATATATATATTTGTGTTAGCTGTGTGTGTATTTATATATATATATATATAAATACACACACACACACACACACACACACACACACAGAGCTAACACCAATGAAACACTTTACTAATATATATAGGGCAATGAGCTCTAGTAATCATCTAAAAAGGTTAATAATGGCTATAAAAATTACGTAAACTACAGAAATTTGTTGGATATAATTCTATATTCTGAGAACTCTCACCATTAAGTTTCTTCCAAGAAGAGCCTGAAGAATTCCACTTTTCCCACAGCTTTTCATTCCAATTACATTACATCTGAACACATTTCTTTGAGTCTGTTTTTTCTGAAGGTCTATCTTTTTATCTCTTGTTACTAAAAAGAAAAAGAAACACTAAATATGTACCAGATTCTTGGAGCCTTTATTCCACCTTCTCAAAATAAGGTATTGCTATTTATCACTTTTATGCATTTCTAATCTACAAAAACACATAAAATAGGCAAGCTTATGTAAAATAAAGTACTACATATAATGCAGAAGGATATAACTTAGTGGAAAAGATGCATTTCTGAAAGTTGACTATAAATTTTCAGTAAAAAATGATAGTTTGCATAAAATAAGCAGTATATTTTCACTAGGAAAATATCCTAAAAATGAATAAAAATTACAATGAATATATCTAACATTATATCCTATCTAATTTTGATGTTATTGTCACATAGAATGTGAGTGTAGCTCAATAGTAGAGAGCTTTCCTAGCATGTGTAACGCTAAGGATTCAATTCCCAGTACTACCAAAAAAAAAAAAAATTATTGGCATAACTAATTATCAACTATGAATGCTATTTGAAACCTGCAACCTCTTGGAGCTGGAAAGAGATTTTTACTCTTGGGTTAGCTGGGTTCTTAGGCATCAATCTGTCAAAAAAAGCATGACAGAAACAATATTGTATCATTAGGAAAATGGGACATCTCTTCTTGAGGTAAAGAGAGCTCTTTAAGCTATACCCAAAGGTACAACAACAGTAGAGCCCATCACAGACACTACTGATTATAGCAAAGTCAAAATGATAGAAATACACAATAATTATGTAATAGTTAAGTACATTATAGAATACTATAAAATGGCACAATATTTCACATTAAAGATATATAGAAGTATACTTATTGATATGCAAAGATGTTCACAACATGTTCTTGAGTGAAAGAACCCCAGAGCTGGCTAGAAATTAACTGATTACTCTTTGGTGCCGAATTAAATACTAATAATTAGTTAAGAACTTGAAAGGGTACTTGTTCTGTCAGTTTAAGTAGGCTATCTTCTGGGGCTGAGGTTGTAGTTCAGTGATAGAGCACTTGCCCAGCATGCATGAGGCTCTGGGTTTGATCCTCGGCATCACATAAATATAAACAAATAAAATAAAGGTATAAAAAATACAATAACATTATTTAAAAAAAAAAAAAGGCTAGCTTCTTGTAAGAGCTTCCTGTAACACATGGCAGAGTTTCCATCAATTGGTATATAAGAAAATCCTATAATGACCAATTGCTAAATTTCTTATTTTCATACCTATGAATTTCCTTTAAATGAAGTACACTGCTTTGGCAAGAATGTGTGGTTTACAATTCAAGATCTGTGAAAGATTTATTAATAAGGAAAAAGATTACAAAGTTGATAAATGTATAATTAGTTCCAGACTGAAATCAAGATCAAGTGTTTAAGTTTTTTTTAAAGTGGCCTAACATATGCTAGGCAAGTGCTCTACCACTGAGTCACAACCCTAGCCCTCCAAATTTTTTTTTAAATTTTTATATATATTTTTAGTTGTTTATGGACCTTTATTTTTATTGTTCTTTCTTTCTTTTTAAGTGGCATTTTGATGACAGTAATTCCCACTGCCTTTTTAAAAAGAGATTTACTTTTTAGTTGTAATTGATTTTTATTTGGTCCTAAGAATCGAATGCAGGGCCTCGCACGTGCTAGGTAAGTGCTCTACCACTGAGCCACAACCCCAGCCTGGCATTGTTTTTAATGTTCAAAGAAAATTAAAATGCAAGACAGATTGGTAAACCCTTTAATGTCCATAGTTCTTCCCCATCTTCATCAGTGAAGTATCCCAAGGCAGTATATTAGAAACAAAAACTCTACTTTTTTTTTTTTTTTTTTTTGACAAACAATAAAATCAGGCATCACAACTCAAAAGAAAGTACTAAATCTTGAGGAAAACTAATACAGTGTAGACATGGAAAACTAAGGAAGATGAGTTTACTTTTATTCTTTGTAACATTTGAAACTAGAGTCTAAAAATGTTCCTAATCATAAACTGAATAGTAGCCAACGCTTACCTGTAATGGCTGAAGCTTGAGACTCTTGTTCAGTCAATATGGAATAGCCTAGATAGCCCAAATATTCTAGGCACCGCTGTACATCTAAATAGGTTGTGAGCCTAAGGAAGGGAAGGTTTACACGGTGAAAAGTTCCTAAATGAACACTCATGAGGGGAAAACATTTCCAACAGCTCAAAAAATGTTTCCTACTAGACCCAGTGTTTGTCACACTACTTCAATTTCCTGTGTACCCAACCATTGGGCTGCCATTCTTTTTTCTTTATTTGGCATGGTACTAGGGATTGAACCCAATGGCACTCAACTGCTGAGCTATACCCCTAATCCTTTTTATTTTATTTTTTGAGACAAGGTTTTGTTAGGTTGCTGAGGCTGGTCTTAAACTTGTGATTCTCCTGTCTCAACCTACAGAGTTGCTAGAATTATAAGGCATATACCACCACCACTGCTGACTGCTATACTGCCATTCATTTTTTTTTTAAATTTATTTCTTAATTTTAGTTGGACACAATGCCTGTATTTTATTTATTTGTTTGTTTGTTTGTTTATTTATATGTGGTGCTGAGGATCAAACCCAGGGCATCCTCACATGTGCTAGGCGAGCACTTTACCACTGAGCTACAACCCAAGCGCTCCCCCCCCCCCACCCCATACTGCCATTCTTAAAGCAGAAAGAAAGGGAAGAGAATGCAAGATGGGGCAAATTCCCCTATCTATTCCACTGCCAGAGAAAGCAATGCCACACAGATAAGCAGATAGTGCCTTTAAAAACCACAGTAGGAATATTTTAATTATCTGCTTCCCAAGTGGGTTGGGAATATTGGGTTGGGAACACAGTGGGTTCTGCAAATATTGACCAGCTGAAGACTTAATGATAATTTTTAAAAATCGGAATAGGATTGACAAAAGAACAAAAATAACTAAAAGACTTCTGAAATCAGCTATCCTTTCTTATGTATTTGAAAAAAGATCCTAATGTTGAAAAAGTTAGTCTCACCAAGGTTAAAATAATTATGTCATCACACAAGACCAGGGAATTCCCTGAAGACACTAAATACAATGTCAACCAGAACATAACAAAGCTGTAGACAAATCTTCTCTAAACTTTACTAAAATTTTATTAACAACAACAAATAATGCAGTAAGACCTCAGTGTCCAATAAAATATGCTACTCCTCACATGCTGAAGGAGTAATTGTGCAGTAGCAATGTCATTTCCAATTCTTTTTTAAAAAAATATTTTTATTAGTTGTTGATGGACCTTTATTTTAATTATTTATTTACATGTAGTGCTGAGGATCAAACCCACATGTGCCTCACACATGCTAGGCAAGTGCTCTACCACTGAGCCACAACCCCAGCCCTCCAAATTTCTTTTTTTAAAAAAAATCTTATATATATATATTTTTAGTTTTGATGGATCTTTATTTTTATTCATTTATTTATATGCAGTGCTGAGAATCTAAACCAGTGCCTCACACATGCCAGGTAAGTACTCTTTCACTGAGCCACAACCCCAGTCCCAATTTTCTTAATCAAACAAAAAAGTATTAAAATGAAGTTAATTTTTGATGTAAGACTTAAGATTACTGTTTCCTAGTACATCATCCAAAAGAAAATAATCCCTTCCTGATAAATCTATAAAGTGTTTATAATCCCAGCAGCACTACAAATCCTGCTTAAGAAACAGTTATGATTGAAGCATTTCATAGGCTCTGACAAGCTTACAAAACAATGAATATAATATACCACAATTTTAAACTAGTGGTGGTTCTAGAGGAAAGAAGTGAGCTCTATACTCACGTCCACTGGGAAAGGAATCCCTGATAGGTTATCCAGCCTTTTTCATTTGTACAAACTGTGTTATTCACATCTGGTCCCCAAGGTATATAAGGGAAAACTTTGAATAAATCCTTAAGTTCATCAGGTGACAAAGCACAGTCTCTATCCTGACAAAACACAAGGAAGTATACATAATGTTTAGATATCCAAGAGAATAATTCTCAAACACAAAATCCCCATAGTCCATGAAAGACTTGCCTCTAAAAATGTGAATTAACAAACAATAAGAAATTTTACATTTCATCAAAACTATAAAAATACAATAATGAATCTATCAGAAACTACACTTTTTCATCCCCAAGAAAACAATGAAAGTAAAAGTAGAAAATATTTTTGCTAGTTGCACTTGGAGAGATTGAACAGTTTGGGCTACATACATAAGTATCACATTGCTAAGGAAACAGAGAAAAATCTCCCACAGAAGAATATTTTACCACATATCATGGAAAATGTCAGTTAAATGCTCACCAGATCATGTTTGTCAAAGGTGCTTTGGAGAAACAAATATGCATGATGATTTAATTCAGTAGTGCAATCAGGAGGTATTTTTAGCCTGTTAATGAAAAAATTAAAAAATAAATCATTAATCAAATATTAAAATTTAATTTAAGAAATGAATACAAAATTCCAACAAGTGTTTTTGTGGGATGCCACTATTTACAAAATTTTCTTCCCCTGGAACATTTAGACTTTCCCAGGGTAAGTCTCTGGAGTATAAACACTCCTCAGAAGAGTCATAATAATGCTTTTTCCAAATGCGTTTTCCAAAATAACATAGATAGATCCTGGGCTGGGGATGTGGCTCAAGCGGTAGCGCGCTCGCCTGGCATGCGTGCGACCCGGGTTCGATCCTCAGCACCACTTACAAAGATGTTGTGTCTGCTGAAAACTAAAAAATAAATATTAAAAAAAATTCTAAAAAAAAAAAATAACATAGATCTTTTCCCAAATATCAGAAGGGCAAATAGTAATGATTAAAATTTTACAAATAGTAATGATTAAACTATAATAGATTTGTTTTTCCTATAAACAAATCATCACAATTATGGCCTTAATATCAATGCCAATATGTAACAACTTGAAAATGATATGAATATTTCACCTTTTGAACCATCTTAAATTTAGTTCAATAAATATTAATCAAATTCATTGAACTAGGTATTAGGGAGACAGGCTCTCTACTTTTTTTTTTTTAAACTGACATATAATACTTATTTAAGAGAGAGAGAGAGAGAGAGAGAGAGAGAATTTTTTAATATTTATTTTTTAGTTTTTGGTGGACACAACATCTTTATTTTATTTTTATGTGGTGCTGAGGATCCAAACCAGAGCCCCATGCATGCCAGGCTTGAGCCACATCCCCAGCCCACTTATTTTTTTAATATTTTTTTTTTACTTGTAGGTGGAAACAATGCCTTTATTTTTATTTATTTATTTTTATGTGATGCTGAGAATGGAACCCAGCACCTCACTTGTCTACACGAGCATTCTACCATCGAGCCACAACCCCAGCCCTATTTATACTTATTTGTGGGATATATACTATTACAGTTTGATACATGTATACAATGTATAGTGATCAAATCAGTATAATTAGCATTTCTGTCTTTTCAAATATTATTATTTCTATATGCTGGAAACATTCAAATTCTTAATTTTTTTTTTTTTTTTTTGGTACCAGGAATTGAACTCAGGGGCACTTGACCCGAGCCACATCCCCAACCCTATTTTGTATTTAGAGTCAGAGTCTCACTGAATTGCTTAGCGCCTCACTTTTGCTGAGGCTGGCTTTGAACTCCTAATCCTCCTCCTTCAGACTCCCATACCACTGAGATCACAGATGTGGGCCACCACATCCATCTTTCTCTAATTTTGAAATATTCAATTAATTGTTATAGACTGGGGCTGGGGTTGTGGCTCAGTGGTAGAGCACTTGACATGTGAGGCACTGGATTAGATCTTCAGTACTACATAAAAATAAATAAATAAAACAGAACTACTCCCCCTGCCACTGTATTTTGATACCATTATTAATAATCTACCCTGCATCACTCCCCTTATTTACCTCTAGTGACCTCCATTCTACTCTCTACTTCTTTATGATTAACCTTTTAAGAAAATGTGGTATTAGTCTTTCTGTTCCTGGCTTATTTCACTTAACATAATGTCGTCCAGTTCTACCCATGACAGGATTTCATCCTTTTTATGGCTGAATAATATTCAATCATATATATGCGCTATTTTAAAAATTCATTCATCCATAGATGGACATTTCTGTTGATTCCTTATAATGGTTATTGTGACTAGTGCTGAAGAAACACAGGAGTATAGGTATCTCTCTGATCTAATAATTCCATAACTAGTAGCAAGGGTATGGGATCAGATGGTAGCTCTATTTTCAGGGTTTTTTTGTTTTGTTTTGTTTTTATTACAGAGATTGAATACAGACAGGGACATCTACTACTGAGCTATAATCCAAGCCCTTTTTATTTATTATTTTGAGACAGGGTTTTGCTAAGTTGCTAAGGCTGGCCTTATATTGTGATTCTCTTGCTTCAGCCTCCCAAATCACGGGACTATGGACATGTGCCACCACTATTTTCAGTTGTTCTGAGGAACTTCCATAGTATTTTCCATAATGGCTGAACTGATTTGCATTTCCACCTACAGTGTTTGAGAGTTTCCTTTTCTTCTCATCTTTACCATTTTTTTTGTGTGTGTATGTCATTTTGATAATGATAGGCTCCCTATTTCTAAGGAACCACATTCAAGTGGGAAGTAGACCACAAACAGATGTCAACAGAATGAGGTAAGTGCTAAGTACGTAAGTTAAGGATGCTAGAAGAGCTTCCATGGAGGGGAACATCTCTGGCCTGGGAGTGGGAAGGTGTCAATATTGCTAAGAGTCACTGTCACCTAAACTGAAACTTGAAGTATGAGGCATTAATAAGATTGGGGAAAAGGAGAGAGAATGATAAAAAGCATAGATGAAAGCCTGGAGTAGGAAAAAACATATGTTTTGTGGACTAAAAATAGTTTGGTATTTACTTCTAGAATGAAGGCAGGGGAGAGCATGAGCAGAGGAGGTTATGAATGACCTCAGATACCACATTAAGAAGCTTGACTTTGGGGGCTGGGGTTGTGGCTTAGTGGTAGAGCGCGTGCCTAACATGCATGAGGCACTGGGTTCGATCCTCAGCACCACATAAATATAAAATAAGGATATTGTGTCCACCTAAAACTAAAAAAAATTAAATAAATATTAAAAAAAAGAAGCTTGACTTTATGCTGTGCCTTGAAGAGAAGTGACATAGCCAAATTTCTGTGTATATGTATGTAAATGCACACATACACTAATCTAGTAGCAAGGTGAAGAACAGAGCAGAAAGATTAATAAGAAATAAAAATGCAAATGGTGGCTCTAGGGGATTATTTTACAGAAAGTTAAATGCAGAAAGTATAAAGAAACTCAAAGAGATGATTAGTATAAGCCACAAAGCAATAAGAGATGGCACTTCCTAACTGTCTTAAAAAAGCAATAAGCAACCACCTATAGAATATATTTGCCCACATAAACAGCACAAGAAAGAAAACTTTTGAGGGGTCCTAGGACTAATTCATTCATTATGTATTTATGAAAAAAATCTGGGATATTAACTTTAAAAAATTTTTTTTTCAGTTGTAGATGGACACAATATCTTTATTTACTTATTTTTATGTGGTGCTGAGGATCGAACCCAGGGCCTCACATGTGCTATGCAAGCTCTATACCACTGAGCTACAACCCCAGCCCCTGGGAAATTAACTTGAGCCAAGATTAAGTACCTTAGACAAGCAAAGCTTAAACTTAGAACTGATGAAAGAACCAGGAATTTAATCTGAAAGACTTCTGATTCCAATGGGGAAGGGAACAACTACATTTTTCTGAACCATTACATAGTTAGCTGGAGATGCGATTCTAAAATTTAAAAACGACATTATGAAATAATACAATGAAAAAGGGAGGAAGAAAGATCAAAGGCTCCAAAGCCAGATCTTGGGAAGTCATGAACTTTGAGAAGTCCGTGTCCCCAGGGTAAAGAAGAGGCATCCTATGGCACATCACTCTTCTATATGAGGTGGCACTGGGTCCACTTTTAAATAAACAGTATTTAAACAGCATTATCAAAGGAAAATAAACAAACTGACCAGGTATTTAGGGAAAATACTTTATCCTGAGCTAATAACGGGCTATAAAATTGAAGAACTAAAGAAAAATGCATATTTTTGATCTCTCGACTCAGAACCAAGTTTATATGGCTTCTTTTTCTCCTTCTCCAGTAAAAATGAATTAAAAAAACATAACTTGTATTCTCTGTGAGAAGAAGAGCAAGAATTTGAGCCCTGCTATAAGTCTGTAGCTCTCAAGGATGGATGTTTTAGTTTCTAAGAAGATACCTGGCAATTTCTGGAGATATTTTTGGTTGTCACAGCTAAGGAAAGAAAGAGGTATTACTGTCATCTAAGTATGCCCAACATCTCAAATGCACAGGACAGGCTGTATAGGAATTATCTGGTCCAAAATGTTGATAGTGGCAAAACTGAGAAACCCTGCTACAAACCTTTGCCTATAAATCTAAATTACTCCTGAGGAGCTTGAAGCCTGCCAATCTGTATGCTAAATAAAACTTAAAAATACTTGGCAAGTGGGCTGGGGTTATAGCTCAGTGGTAGTGCTTGCCTGGCATGTGTGAGGCACTGTGTTCGATTCTTAGCATCACATATAAAAAAATAAAATAAAAAAGTCCACCAACAACTAAAAAAACAATTTGAAAAAAAAAAATTAGAAAACCAAAGGTACATACAAGGGGAATAAATACTCAGGTGTTAAATCCAAATCATCATCATAACCAAATCGTCGAAGTACAGTCCAAGTAGTTTCATGTCTCCCTCTCTGGATAAACAGCGTGTGTAAAAAGAGAAAACCTGAAATAAAGTAAATACAATAGATGTAAAGGAAGGTACAGAGTCACACAAGAGAAAAGCATTTAATTGCAAGAGCTAGATTTGTAAATATTAATATACCAGTTTCACGGTGAAGTTCAAAACAAAATTCACAACTGCCTTAATGAAACAGAGTTCATTTCAGAGTTGAGTTACATATACACCCAGCTCAGCAAGACATCACTGGATGAAAGGGCCAAAATTACGTTCCAAGGAATACATGTATCACAGTTATATGATGGAAGCAAATGAAAATGTTTTTTAGATTTTGAGTTTATTTCTATAATGGAAAATTCTGGAATTAAATTTTATTTCTTATTTTACTTGTGGCTCTATAATATATTCAACAGGGAATATTCTATACTTGATAAGTATGACTTGTAGACAAAATTCTCTGAAAATAATTTCTATTTAAGACTATTTATGAGTAGAAAAGACTTTAAGATAAATTTATTTGTTCCAGATATCTCTTTCCTTTAGATGGTCCTGAGCATCCCTGAGATGGAACCAATTAAAAAAAAAATTTGTGTATATATATATATATATATATATATATATATTTTTTTTTTTTTGGTTGTAGATGGACACAATACCTTTTTTCATTTATTTATTTTTATGTGGCGCTGAGAATCAAACTCAGTGCCTCACACATGCTCTACCACTGAGCTACAACCCCAGCCCCCAACCAAGTTCTCTACCTGATAGTAAAGATAATATGGACTATCTTCCAACTTTTAAATATCCAAATCAGATTTTAAGCATTTTCTTAAGGCATATATAATGCTATAAACACCTTCACTTTCTGTGAAATTTCAAAAAATATTAAGTTTAAAAGTGTTGAAAAAACACCATTAACCCACCTTTCAACGTCAATCCACTGTCAGCCACACCATCACTTATGTGTTTTCTTACTACATTCTTGACATCTTCCAGAGCTTGAGGAGCTAATGGAGTATTGAAACAAATTCTCTAGCAAAAATAAATAAATAAATAAATAAAATAAAAATAAGTTTAAAAATAAACCAGCATTAAAACCACAAATATAAAACAATAATCTACTAAGAATAGAAAATAAGGGGCTGGGGTTGTGGCTCAGTGGTAGATCGCTCGCCTAGCACCTGCGAGGCCCTGGGTTCAATCCTCAGTACCACATAAAAATAAATAAACAAAATAAAGATATTGTGCCCAACTACAACTAAAAAATAAGTATTAAAAAAATCAAGTAGTTGTAACCAAAATAAATTCTAAATTAAAATAGTCCCCACTTTGAATAATTTACTTAGAAGAAAAGAAACTTCCCAACTCCCCTTATCCTGTTTCTAAAACACAAGGGTCTTTGTATAGCTACGTTACACAAAACCAAGAAAGCAAAATGATTCATAGTTCAAACTTCAAGTTCTTAATATACCCATTGTAAACCATGAAATGAAAACTATCAAAGAAACCCCTCAATTCCTACACATAAGAGTTTTTTATACCATAAGGGTTTAAGTAGCTTCATGTGATAGTTTTACAAGAAAGAGACTAAGGCAAGCAACAAATTATTGTTTAAGCTTAAAAAATTTTTATAGTTTTTATCAACAAAGACAAAGACATGATAATGCCTAAAACTAAAATCACTTACCTGAAAGAAGTTGAGTTCAGCATCGTTGAGAGTACCATCATTATCTTGATCAGATATTTTAAATATACGAGTAAGGGCTTTTATACAGGCTGGTTTCATCTGTAAAAAATTAAAGTAGGATTTTAAATATGATTTTCATAAGTAAAGGTAAGAACAATTCTCACTGTTTTCACATAACTGCAAATATAATCAACATGAAAAAAATGATCTAAAGCAAAACCATTTACTTTTACACTGGAGCCTTAGGTAAATGAGGCAATATTTACTTGCACTAATATTTAGAAAGGCTACATTCTTCCCTCATGACCATAATTCCTCTGAGAACAGGCCAAAAAAAAATCATGATAAATAAAGAAGTTCATCATTGGGTGAGGATTCAGTGAGATTCATTATATATTTATGTCCTCCCTCATTCCATAATGAATTTGAACTGACATAAAATTATTAAAGGCTCTCCTTCCCAACTTCTGGTAGCAGAATAGGACATGATGTTTTGATCTATCCCTTATATGTTTTAGAGCTAGGATGTAAAATGAACTTATTCACAAACAGATGGCAAAATATCATTAGTTAATACATGTAAAAAACTTTTACTAACTTTGTATTATGAGATAAGAATCTATCTTTTTTTTTTTTTTTAACCCAGGGGTGTTTTACACTGAGCCACACCCCCAACCCATTTTATTTTTTATTTTGAGACAAAGTCCCACTAAGTTGCTCATGCTAGCCTCAAACTTGCAATCCCAAATTGCTGGGATTACAGGCATGCAAAACTACACCTGCTTAAGAATTATCTACATTTAGAAAAGAATCTTGCTTTTTGAGACTTTGTAAATTTTTATTTTTTAAAAATATTTATTTTTTAGTTTTAGGTAGACACAATATCTTTATTTTACATTTATGTGGTGCTGATGATGGAACCCAGTGACTGATGCCTGCTAGGCGAAAACTCTACCACTGAGCCACAACCCCAGCCCCTGTAAAATTTTTATAAGTAATGCTGTTGGAAATATGTTTTGATAGCTTCCTCAATTATCTTACGATATAAAAAGAATAGAATATCTGAATATTTAAAAATAAGGTTCTGGGGCTGGGGTTGTTGCTCAGCAGTAGAGTGCTCACCTAGCATGTGCAAGCTCTGGGTTCGATCCTCAGTACCACATAAAAATAAATAAAATAAAAGTATATATATATAAACACTCATCCTAAAAACTAAGTAAATAAAAACAAGGTCCACATTTTCTAGTTTGCATAATTAGCATAGGGTCACCAGTGCCAACAATTTTGAGAATGAAAAAAAAAAATCTTTCAGTAGCTAAGGATGTGTTTCAGTGATACAGTGCTTGCTTAGTAAGTGTGAAACACTGGGTTTGATCCTTAACCCTGCAAAAAACAAAAAAAAACTTTCAGGAAGATCTTTGAAGTTTATTTAGACTTAGAGGTAGATCTCTTATAGACCCATCTGTTATGGAGAAATGAGATGGCAAGGAGAGAAAAATGTATAATTTTTAGTTTATAACTTCAGCCATATGGCTATCCTAAGCAAAATGGTAATGATAACAGGTTTTTTTAGTTGCAGATGGACACAATATCTTTATTGTTTTTTAATATTTATATTTTTAGTTGTAGTTGGACACATACCTTTATTTATTTTTATGTGGTGCTGAGATTCGAACCCAGGGCCTCGTATGTGCTAGGCAAGTGCTCTACTGCTGAGCCACAACCCCAGCCCAACAATATCTTTATTTTTATTTGTTTATTTTTATGTGATGCTAAGGATCAAACCCAGGGCCTTACACATGCTAGGCAAGCACTCTATCATTGAGCTACAACCCCAGCCCCCAACAGTTTTATTCATTTTAGTTGTTGACAAGTACATGTTATCAATATTTTCTTCTATCAATTTCATTTTTGTTTTTTTTAATATTTATTTTTTAGTTCTCGGCGGACACAACATCTTTGTTGGTATGTGGTGCTGAGGATGGAACCCGGGTCGCACGCATGCCAGGTGAGTGCACTACCGCTTGAGCCACATCCCCAGCCCGATAGACCTTTATTTTATTTATGTTTATCTGGTGCTGAGAATCAAACCCAGTGCCTCACACATGCCAGGCAAGTATGCTACAGCTGAGTCACAGCCCAAGCCCATGATGACAACTTTATGTTCAAAAATAAATGCAGAAAAAAATATTCTTTAAAAGATAGGAAATAGTTTTCTTCAATAAATCTTAATTAAATGAGGTGTCTTAGAGGGCTGGGGATGTGGCTCAAGCGGTAGCGCGCTCGCCTGGCATGCTTGCGGCCCAGGTTCGATCCTCAGCACCACATACAAACAACGATGTTGTGTCCGCCAATAACTAAAAAATAAATATTAAAAAAATTTTCTCTCTCTCTCTCTCTCTCCCCATCTATCACTCTCTCTTTAAAAAAATAAATAAATAAATAAATAAATAAATAAATGAGGTCTCTTAGAGAGCAATTTCACATAGTGAGAAAAAATAAAATGAAAGCTACAAAGATATTAGAAAGAAACAAGAAGAGTTAAATATTTAAAGAGTATTGGCTATGGCTTTCTTTTAATAAAAGTATTAAGTAGACCATAATTTATATAATATCTACAATTATGGGTGACTACATATATATATATATATATATAGTGTTCATCTACAACTAAATATACATATATATTATATTTAGTTGTAGATGAACACAATATCTTTATTTATTTATTTTTATGTGGTGCTGAGGATCAAACCCAAGTACCCCACATGTGTGAGGCAGGCACTCTACCACTAAGCTACAGTCCCAGCCCTCATGGGTGACTTCTTTTTAAAAAAATAAATGGCAATAAATTGCTTCTATAAATATGATCCTAACATTAACATTCAAGATTAATAAAGATTATTGGGGGCTGGGGATGTGGCTTAAACAGTAACGTGCTCCCCTGGCATGCATGGGGTGCTGGGTTCGATCCTCAGTACCACATATAAATAAAATAAAGATGTTGTGTCCACTGGAAAAAAAAAAAGATTAATAAAGATTGTTATATTTTATTTATTCTCTTTGAAAAAATTATTATATAATAATCTAAATGTTTACAAAAGAAGCAGTAGCTAGAATAATGCACAAAACAGAACCTAAAAATAACTTCTCATTTTGTTCAAGTGGTTTTTCCTCACATAATAAAAGACTACATTAAAAAATAATACTGTGAGCAAAATATAAACAGTAATGCATTTTTCATCAAAATTTGAAATGCTGGGCTGGGGCTGGGGTTGAGCAGTAGCGCACTTGCCTGGCATGTGTGAAGCACTGGGTTCGATTGTCAGCACCACATATAAATAAATAAAATAAAGGTCTATCAACAACTAAAAAAATATTAAAAAACAAACAAACTTGGAATGCATCAGAAGTTAAAATGCTGTAAAGTGTTGGTTCAATGAAATTTTTAAAGTGCTAACTACCTAAAATATAACACTAAAAAGTGACTACTAGTAGAAAGTATTAAAAATTATACCTCAGTAAAACTGTAAAAAAATTTTACAGTAATAAAAACTATATTTTTTTTCAGGCTGGGTATGTGGCTCAAGCAGTAGCACGCTCGCCTGGCATGTGTGTGGCCCGGGTTCGATCCTCAGCACCACATACAAACAAAGATGTTGTGTCCGCCGAAAACTAAAAAATAAATATTAAAAATTCTCTCTCTCTTTAAAAAAAAAAAAAAAAACTATATTTTTTTTGTACAAAGGACTGAACCCAGGGGTGCTTTACCACTGAGCCATATCCCAGCCCTTTTTATTCTGTAACAGGGCCTTGCTAGGATGCTGAGTTTGGTTTATTTAGGTTTTTTTTGTTGTTGTTGTTTTAAATGTGGTGCTGGGGATCAAACCCAGTGTCTCATGCATGCTAGGCAAATGCTCTGCTACTGAGACACAACCCCAGCCCTGAGTCTGGTTTTAAACTTGCAATCCTCCTGCCTTAGCCTCACAAACTACTGGGATTACAGTGTGTGCCACCATGCCCAGCAATAAAAACATTTTCTATATGAGAGATCTATTCCCACAATAAATATTATTATTACATAGTAGTCACATCTTTATCATTAGTAGGTAAAATGTGGACAACATAGGTCACACAGAGTTAATCATCATTTAACATTTTAGCTCAGCTTTTAATTTTGAAATTGATGATTCAAATCTGTATTAAAAGCTTATTACTGGGGCTGGGGATGTGATGTGGCTCAAGCGGTAGCACGGTCGCCAGGCATGCGCCTCGCGCTGGGTTCGATCCTCAGCACCACATAAAAATAAGATGTCCTGTCCACCGAAAACTAAAAAATAGAAAAAAAAAAAAAAAAAAACTTATTACTGTTGGCCAGGCCTGGTGGCACATGCCTGTAATCCCAGTGATATGAGAGGCTGAGGAAGGAGAATTCAAATTTAGCAAGACACTAAGCAAATTAGTGAGACTCTGTCTTAAAATTAAAAATAAGGGGGGGCGGGCGGCTGGGGCTGTGGCTTAGCGGTAGAGCACTCATCTCGGACGTGCAAGGCCCTGGGTTCAATCCTCAGCACCACATATAAGTAAATAAATAAAATAAAAGTATTGAGTCCATTACAACTTAAAAAAAAAACTATAAAAAAAATAAAAATAAAAATAAAAAGGGCTAGGGATGTGGCTTGGTTGTTAAGTCCTCCTAAAATTAATCCCCAGTAACAAAAACAAAACAAAAAAACCTAAACCAAAAAACACTTATTGTTGCTGAAATAAAAGATTCTGGTATAAGCTTAGACTTAAAGCTTGTACATATATACGAATAAGATACTGTCTAAAGTTGAAAATTTTATCTATTAGGCAGGTGTACCTAAGAAATAAGCAACAGATGGTGGTAGGTGTTTTACCCTTGTGGGACTAGGGGAAGAGGCCGGGGATTAGCAGATTAACAGAACTAATAATAGTCTTGAGAACAAAGTAGCAAGTAAAGAATTGAGAACTAATGGGGGAGTTTAAACTGCCAGACTAAGGCCTCAGAGGTAAATATAGTATAAAAGCACTTTCCAATTTCCTTTATTATAAAATACAGCACCTGGGGCTGGGGATGTGGCTTAAGCGGTAGCGCGCTCGCCTGGCATGCGTGCGGCCCGGGTTCGATCCTCAGCACCACATGCAAACAAAGGTGTTGTGTCTGCCGAGAACTAAAAAATAAATATTAAAATATTCTCTCTCTCTCTCTTTAAAAAAAAATAAATAAATAAAAAATAAAATACAGCACCTGACTAATAAGAATGGCATGTGTTTGTAATAAATATATCTACACCTACTAATTATTATGATGAGGCAAGTTTAGGAAATACTGGCTTAGAGTAAATCAGAAATAAGCATCCCAATTAAGAAATTGTAAATCAGGAATAAGGAAGAGTAAATCATGATCAGATTAGGGATAACACAAATTAGTTTTTCAAGGTGTCAGCACTTTTTCTGTAAAGGGAAACAGCAAATATTTTAGGCTTTGGAGCCAAAAGGCAAAATCAAGGATACCATATAGGTACTTACATAGCAAAAGATAAATCAAATTTTCATCAAGTTTTTACTGATAAATTCAAAATATATTACTGAGTATAACTTTTCTGTACAGGTCTACTAATGAGAACAGATTTTATTGGAGGGATAATATTGTGCTTATTTGGAAATCAAAATTAGTGTTCACTACTGTGAAAATCAATTGCAAATGTTCATATGTTAAGGCTGATCTGTAATGAGATTTTCGTCTTTTTTTATTTATTTATGTTTTTTAGTTGTATATGAATAAACAATTCCTTTAGTTTATTTATTTTTATGTGGTACTGAGGATTGAACTCTAAGCTTCACACATGCTAGGCAAGCACTCTAACACTGAGCTACAATCCCTGCCCTTATGTCTCTTATTTTTGAAAAGTACTTATTTGCACAAATATATACTACAAATACCAATATATATTCATAAACATGATTTTTTTGGGGGGGAGGCAATGCTGGGGGCTGAACTCAGAGTCTCACACATTCTAGGCAAGTACTTTTACCACTGAGCCACATTCCCCAGCCCCCATAAACACAATTTTAATTGAGCACATTCATCACTTGGAAGGCACTCATAGAATTATATTAGATTCTTTTCTTGATATTTGCCTTTTAGTATGTTATTACATTGCAGATTAATCAATTCCAATTGAAGGCTTGGGGGAAGCTCACAGATAGATTTTTCACATATCACAAAACATTATTCCTTTTGATATTTTTCAGTTATTTTTTTAAAAATATTTATTTATTTATGTATCTTTAGTTTTAGGTAGACACATTATTTTGTTTTTATGTGGTGCTGAGGATCAAACCCAGTGCCTCATACATGCTAGGTGAGCACTCTACCACTGAGCCACAACCCTAGCCTTATTTTTCAGTTATTTAAAAAATATAAAATATATTTTTAGTTAATAGGCTGTACAATAATAGGCAGCAGGCCAAATTTGGCCCATGAGGCATAGTTTGCCAATCACTCACCCTATTACTATAAACTTTTCTGCAGCTTTTTATATTTTAAAAACAATACCTCAGTAATAAAAAGGTAAGTAACCTGATTTAAAAATGGGCAAATTAAAGCCAGATGCAGTGGCACATGCCTGTAGTCCCAGCAACTTAGGAGGCTGAGGCAGGAGGATCACAAATTCAAAGCCAATCTCAGGGAAGTCCCTAAGAAGTTAGTGAGACACTCTCTTAAAATAAAAAAGATTGAAGATGTTGCTCAGTGGTAAAGTGCCTGCAAGTTTGATTCCCAGTGCTAAAAAACTAAAAAAAAAAATAATAAAAAATTTAAAAAAGACAAATTATACATTTTACAGCTGAATAAAGGATTAATACTGAGAACACATAGTGAATTCCTAAAATTCAATAATAAAAAACAAAATTTAAGAATGGGCAAAAGGCCAGCTGTGGTGGAACACACCTGTAATCCCAGCAATTTGGGAGGCTGAGGCAGTGGGATCGCCAAATTTGAGGCCAACCTCAGGAACTTAGCAGGGCTCTAAGCAACTTAGTTAGACTCTGTCTCAAAACAAAAAATAGGAAGAGCTGAGAATGTGGCTCAGTGATGAAGCACCTTGGTTTAATCCCCAGTACAAAAAAAAAAAAAGGCCGGGCTGGGGCTGTAGCTCAGCTGCAGAGTGCTTGTCTAGGCATCTGTGAGGCACTGGGTTTGATCCTCGGCACACATTAAAAATAAACAAATAAAATAAAGTCATTCTGTCTATCTACAACTACAGAAAAAAAATAATAATAATTTTAAAAAGGCAAAGGACCCAATTATATCTATTAGGATGACTATAATAAACAATAACAAAAAAGGAGCAAAATAAATGTTGGCAAAGATGTGGAAAAACTGGAACCTCCCATACACTGATGGTGGAAATGTAGAATGATTCAGGCACTATGAAAAACAGTTTAGTGGTACCTCAACAAGTTAAACATATAATTATCATTTGATTCAGCAATTACACTCCTAAATACAGATTCAAACGAATTAAAAACAAGTGTTTCAACAAAAAATTCTATGTGAACATTTAAATCAGTCTATCATATTAGCTAAAAATTAGAAATTGCTCAAATGTTCATCAAAAATAAGGAAATTTAAAAAGTCTAATGCATCTATACAATGATGTATTATTTGACCATTTAAAAAAGAAAGAAAAAAGAAATACAAATACATGCCACAGAATGGATAATCTTTGAAAAAATGCTAAGTGAAAAAAGTTAGAAACCAAAAAAATTTTGTATGATTACATTGATATGAAATATCCAAGAGGCAAAACTAGAAATAAAAGTAGATTAATGGAAAATAAAATAAAATAAAATAAAATAATTGTTGTAAGGAGCTGGGAAAAGGAGGGTTTACAGAGTGACTGCTAATGAGAACAGGATTTCTTTTGGGAGTGATGAAAGGTTCTAGAATTAGATAATATTTGCATAATGTATTTAATATACTGCAAATCATTGAATTATCTTAAAATGTGAATTTTATGGCATGTAAATTTTTAAAAATACAATCAGTTTTTCTTAAGTTTATGGCAATATATTATTAAATTTTAGGTATTTAAATAAGGAATAACTGTATTTCTAGCTATAAAACAAAAAGGAGCATTCAAGTTATATATTGTACTCATTTCTAAAAACTACACAAAGGTTTGAGTGTAGCTCAGTGGTAAAGCTACCAAGAGCACTAAACATGCACAATCCCCAGTACTACGATTGTTAAAAAAGCACAAGTTTTTTGTTTCTGTGTTAAGTTCAGATTTTATAATATCAAAGTTGTATAAATAATTAGATAAATATTTGGATTTTTTTGTTGTTATTGTTGCAAATTCTTCTTTTTGCTTTAATGGCAAATCAAGAAACTTTTTTTTTTAATATTTATTTTTTAGTTTTCGGTGGACACAACATCTTTGTATGTGGTGCTTGAGGATTAAACCTGGGCCGCACGCATGCCAGGAGAGCGCGCTACCGCTTGAGCCACATCCCTAGCCCTCAAGAAACATTTAATCTGGAAAACATTCTGAATATTTAACATGAATATCAGTGAAGAAAAATACTAAGAAAATGTTGCTATTTAATAAAGTAATAAATTTTGAATTTGAAAGTTTAACTTTTGCAAAAAACACATAATAGTTACTAAAAAGCACTATCATACTAGAGTTTCTCCTACATTCCAGTAAACAAGTCTGGTGGTTACCTCCTTCTCCTCTGGGCAGTACAGAGGCCCTGTAGGATGAAGAACAGCTTTCTGTGCATAATAAAAGAGCTCTGATATGTTCTTCAGGTTTTTTGCTGAACACTGAAAAGAAAAGGTTAAAATTTTTATACTGTAAAATCAATTATGAGAACAAAAAAATGTATTTTAAAACTATCAAAATAAGGTGGCAGATTTTGTGAAGAAACTGAAAACTGCATTTTCCTTTGTGGACATCACAATATCAACGTCTACACACAGCCTAGTTCTGTTATACTTGGGTTTACATGAGTGCACAAAGAGCAGAAAATTTATTCCATCACACATCATCCCCATTCCTATTCAGAATCTCAGGTTAGTGAGAATTCACCAATAATAAATTTTCATGAGGCATACCTCCACACAGGTTTCTATTTCTGTATACTGGTTCATGATGGGAAGGATGGTCTCCATGCTACTATATTCCACCAGATCAGACTTGTTCCCAACCAATATTAAAGGCAGCCTGAAATGAATAGGAATTGTAATAATAAAGAGAAAAGACCGTATATCTACATTTAATTCTCATCATAACTCAGAATTTCTAAGTAAAAATCTTATTAAAACTCATGAACTAATCTTACTATAGTCAGGTTAAGCCCCTAGATAGCAGTTTCATCTAACCATTGAACACATATTTAATGGATACCTGTAATAAATCACAAACATATTAAAGACACAAGACAAGGAAGATCTCTTCCAAGTCTAACACTGAAAACAGAAAATGAAAAGTAAATAAACAATTTTCAATTCAGTAAGTGTTATGAAGGAACTGAAAAGGGGCATAAAGGATAGATACAGCACATGGAAGAATTACAAATAGTAATTAGAGAAAAACTCTCCAACAAAGTAGCATTTGAACAAAGGAGTGAAGGACCAGATTAGCATTTGTTATATGAAGAGCAAGGAAGAGCTACCTGGGAAGAAGGGTCACCACATTCAAAGGCCTCAAATTGAAAAAAAATCCTGGTGGGGTCAAAGATGCTGGAGTGAAGAGATGCTGAGCAAAAGGGTTATGAAAATTATGAAATGGGGCTGGACACGATCAAAAGCCAGACATACAGGACTTAAAAGCTGCAGTAAGGAGTGTGGGTTTTACTGTTAGTTTACATGGAAGCCACTGAAGGGTTATAAGCAGGAGCATGACACGATCTGATCCACATTTTTAAATGTAATGATTTGTTACTTTTAAAACATACATACTGAAAGATACATAGTGTGACGCAGTATGTTAGTTTGCTTCAAAATGACTCCAATGGGAGGAGTAATAGATGAAATGAAACTGGCAGTGAGTTAATTGTTGAAGCTGGATGACAGATACATGGGAATTATTACACTATTCTCTCCACTTTTGTATATGTTTGATTTTTTTCATTAAGAAAAAGCTTTTTTGCTGGGTGCAGTTGTGTGTGCCTATAATCCCAGTGGCTCAGGAGGATCATGAGTTCAAAGCCAGACTCAGCAAAGCGAGGGACTGAGCAACTCAGTGAGACCCTGCCTTTAAATAAAATACCAAAAAAAAAAAAAAAGGGCTGGGGATGTGGCTCAGGGGCCAAAGTGCCCCTGAGTTCAATACCCAGTACCCCTCCTCCCATCAAAACAAAAAGAAAAAGCTTTTTTCCCCTTTTATTTTTAGTATTGGGGATTGAACCCAGGAGTGCTTTACCACTGAGCTACATCCCTAGCACTTAGTTTATTTTTTGAGATAGGGTCTCGCTAAATTACTGCAGGTATCACTAAGTTGCTGAGGCTACCCATGAACTTACAATCTTCCTGTCTCGGCCTTCTGAGTCACATGTCACTGTGCCCAGTTAGAAAAGGCTTTTTAAAAATCTGATAGCTTGGAATAGAGCATTCACAGTGAAGATGAAGAAGAAATATTCAAATTTAGGACACATTTTAGGAGTAAACTAATACAGATATTAGTATCTGATAAACACAGAAGCTGAAGGAAAGGGAAAAATATAAAGGATTTTGGCTAGAGAAAATGAAGAGATTCCATAAGACATAGAAGATGGAGGGAGTTTTGTTTCTTGGTGGGAGAGTGGGTGGGCAGAGAATTAAAGATTTTGTTTTAGACAAGTGAAATCTGGAGAAGACTGTGGGAAATCGAAATAGGTTATCAAAGAGGATCAGTCTAATGAAGAACTGTTATTTGTGAATCCTACAAGACAGCTTGGAGAAAGCAAATTACCTTGCTGGAACTCGAAACTGCACTAGAAACCCTTGAAGCATTTAGTTTACCTCCCTGCTATGACCATCATGCTTAAAGAAACTGACCCACTCTATTACCCAAATATTGATTCCCAACCAATCCAGAAGGTTTTCCAAAAACATAGTGGTTTATAATAACAGATGTATACAGAAATGCCTTCTCTGAAGAGTCCCTCCCAGAAATAGCTTAATGAAGAAGAACAAATATCAGGAGCATACAGGTATTGGATCCTCCAAAGCAGTCCTGTCCAATATAACATTCTATGATGGTGGGACTATTCTTTACCTGCCCCATTCATTACTGTTAATAACTAGCCAGATGTAGCTATAAAGCTCCTGAAATGTGATTAAACATATTGAAGAAACTATAATTTTAGTTTTATTTAAAGTGAAAATGCCAAATCTGACTAGAGACTACTGCAGTGGGAACCACATCTCCCCTTTCCATTTTGTCAATAAGACACCATAAAACCATGATAAGAAGACACCATCGGAGCTATTAGGCATAGCACTTACAATGCCATCTCAGTCCAAAGTTGCTCTTCCATAACTAAGTAAAACAGATAAATGATCACATTAATCTGTTCAGAACCAGACTTTCAGCTGGGCATATTGGTATACAACTGTAATCCTAGCAACTCAGGAGACTAAGACTAAGACAAGGGAATCAATTTAGCAAGGCCTTAAGCAACTTAGTGAGAACTTGTCTCAAAATAAAAAATAAAAAGGGTTGGAGATTTGACTGGGTGTAAGTGGCACACCCCTGTAATGCCAGCAACTCAAGAGGCTAAGGCAGGAGGATGGCAAAGTTCAAAGCCAGCCTCAGCAATGGCAAGGTGTTAAGCAACTCAATGAGACCCTGTCTCCACATAAATTACAAAATAGGATTAGAGATGTGGCTAAGTGGTTGAGTGCCCCTGAGTTCAAACCCCAGTACTCCTCCCTTCAAAAAACAGGGGTTTGGAGATGTGACTTACTGGTCAAGCACCGCCTGGGTTCAATCTCTAGTATAAAAAAAAAAAAAAAAAGGAGAAAAAAAAAAAAGAACTAGGCTTTCAGAGTTTCAAAAGACAAAAAGGCTCAATTGAAAAGAAATTTTTTAAAAATTGAGTACAGGACCAAGTGTGCTCAATTAATAAATATGAGTTTGAATTTCTTAACATTTAAGACTCAAATGCGCTTCATAAATGTTATTCCAATTAAATAATATTGCAAGAAAATATTTTGTTTCCATTTAAATTTAAAATGTTTATGCTCAGAACTACTATTCTGGTTCAGAAAAATACAGAATGCACACTCTCTTACTTCTTCCCTGTCATACTTACATCTTCCAAAGAATTACAAAGAAATCTTTCTTTATGAATTCCTAAAGAGTTCCTTAAAGAATTTATAAAGTACTTACATGTGCATTATTTTATTTGATTCTCAATATAACCACATGTAGCTAAGACAGATATTACCCTTATCCTCACTTATACATGACGAAACTAACAAGTCAAAGTCTACAAGCTCATAAAGGGTCAAACCAGATTTCAAGGGTTGTTCATTTTTTTCAAAGTTCCTGCTCTAACATACACTACACTGTATACAATCAACTATAATTGCCCACACCATGAGTAATCGATGATGCCATACTTCATCAAAGAAGTACAAAATAGGAGAGAGGATTACTGGGGGTCTAGCACCATGGTAGAGTATTTGCCTTGCATGTATAAAGTCCTAGATTTCAATCTGCACCACCATAAAAATAGAGGGTGTGTGTGCACACAAAATACAGGTGAGGATACACTCTAAAACTGAGACCTTCAAGCAGCAATTTGAGAAACAAAAATATAAGATTATCAAAATATTTAATCTGTCTGTAACTATGAATTATTAGCACAGTGCTGTTTCTTTGCTCTCAAATATACTTACTGCTTCAAGTGATTCCTCCCAAAACAGGTGTGTGGGGATGTATGGAGGTATGTAAGCAGACAGATGAACTGACAAAGCATATGTGGCAAATGTTAACAACTGATGGATCTGTGAAGGGTTTTCAGATGTTCATTACTATTTCTCACATCTTTTTGGTAAAATTCCTATTTGAAATTTTTCAATATAAAGTTTGAGAGAAAAAATACCTGCTGTCTTTGTCTGTTCTTTCATTTATGAGAGGAATCCATCGACTTGTTACCTAAAACGAAAATGAATAAGAGCAAAGTCATGATGTAGATCTTCATTAAAAATTTTGTCTTCTAATCATTAAAATTCTAAATTGAGGATCAACTTTGAAAGTGCTCCATTGAAATTTAACTAAACATAATGGGAAAAAGTCATATATTTTTACCTTATCAATAGAATGTTTGTTGTTAACAGCATAAACTATGCAGATGACATTAGCCTAGAAGAAAAATTAACAAATTAATGTCATTTTAAAATAAAAATACAAACATTAGCATTTAATTACCAACTAGTTAATATATTTGGCTCGAAGGCAGAAAAATTTTGAAGGGGAAAAAAAGCTTAACCCTAAAGAGAAAAATATTTCTAAGGATCCACAATAAAAACATGTTTAAAATTAGCATCAACAATAAATAACTGAAAATTCTTGCTAAGTGAGAAAATGAAAAAAGCACACACATAGGGTCATCACTGTTTTTCCACAAAAATATACAACTATTTTTTAAACTTACCTGTGATATTTCTTGATGAAGTTGTTCATCACTCTGTTCTGCTTCTACAAGTGACAAAAAGTCAATGTTCACATTTTAAACACTTTCATTATAACCAATAGTCAACCTATAATACATGTGACACCCAATTACTATCCTTCAAAATGCCATGGTATAGCTCTACCATGGTATACATGATAGAGCTAGGATGAGGAAGCAAAGAAATCAAGACTGGGTAGCAAAGACCAGGGTAACCCAGGAGCAGAGAAAGTTGAACTAAGATAAGGAAGCTGGCTAATGATAAAAGACACATCCATAATGAAGGTAGCCAGAGCATAGAAGAGCAGAGGCATTGTGTGATAAATCTAGGCCAGCATCTGATCCAGGGTTACAAAGGGTCAGGCAAAAGAGATCAGCAACTCAAGAAAGAAAACTAAGTGTTATATAGACTCTATATAACAGGGTCCAAAAGGCCAGGTGAGAATCCTTGGTCAATACAAGCTTACAATCTAGATAGCAGGTAGAAGTAATAATAACCAGGACCCAGAAGCAAAACTATAGCATGACAATGAAGAATCAAGCACATATTTCTAGCCAGAACTGCTCTCAAAGGGTATACATGATAGAGCTAGGATGAGGAAGCAAAGAAATCAAGAGCAATTAATTTAGATCATTTTACATGTCTCCCCCCAAATGCCTGTTATTTTTCACAAAGAAACTAGTAATGGTATGTTATACTATGCTAAAAAAAAAAAAAAGGCTGTATATTTAATATTTTTGCATATGTTGAGTAGTCAACAAGGCTTCAATTCTAATAATTAAATTAATCAAATTATAAGGCTGTCTGTATCAAAGAAAGAAAAAAAAATTCTATAAATAAAGCTAGTTATGAGGCTTCAATTTCTAGTATACTGCTGTTCAACATACATACAATGCAAGCCACATGTTAGAGTCTGTAAACAAGTCTGGATGGCACCTGGCATTTTGCCAGAGGGAGTGGTTTGTGAGGTAATGCCATCGAGCCATTGAGTGTGGAGATTCCTTATTGGTTGACTGCTGTATCTAGTTTATGTTAATTAAGATAAGCTGTGTGGAATGTATAAATACCTCTGTTGTCCTACAATAAATGGCTTCCACTCCTGCTGTATCAACGTACACAAGTTGTTCGTCACCCCCCGGATATTTTGCCCAGCCAGCCGGGCTGCGGCAGCCACATATGTAATTGTTAATTTTCTAGTAGTTATCTTTAAAAAGGTAAAAAGAGTCCATGCATGGTGGCGCATGCCTGTAATCCCAGCAGCTTGGGAGGCTGAGACAGGAGGATCAAATTCAAAGTCAGCCTCAGCAAAAAGCAAGGTGCTAAGCAACTCAGTGAGACCGTCTCTAAATAAAACACAAAATAGGGCTAGGATGTGGCTCAGAGGTCAAGCATCCCTGAGTTCAATTCCCAGTACCAAAAAAAAATTTTTTAAAAAGATAAAAGAGGTAAAATTAATTCTTATTTAACCCAAAATATAAAAAATAGAAAAATTAATGAGATATTTTTACATTTTTTATGCTAACACTTAAAAATATAGTTGCATTTTGAATTTATAGCACTTTGTTTTTTGGTACTGAGAATTGAAGCCAGGGCTGGAGTTGTAGTTCAGTGATAAGGCATTTGTCTAGCATGTGTGAGGCACTGGGTTTAATCCTTAACACCACATAAAAATAAAGAAATAAAATAAAGTTGTTGTGTCCACCTACAAATAAAAATTTAAAATTAAAAAAAAAATTTGAACCCAGGGGTACTCTACCCCTGAGTTATATCCCCAGCTTTTTTTGTTATTTTTTAAATTTGAGAGATGAGGGCTAGAGCTGTGGCTCAGTGATAGAACACTTGCCCACCATGCATAAGGCACTGGGTTGGATCCTCAGCACCACATATAAATGAATAAATGAATGATGAATGTTAAAAAAATTGTTTAAAAAAATTTGAAAGAGGGTCTCCCTAAGTTGGTTGCGGCCTCACTAAGCTGCCAAAGCTAGTCTCAAACTTGTGATTCTCCTGTCTCAGCCTCCTGAGTTGCTGGGATTACCATCATGGGCCACCATACCCAGCTATAGAACATTTAAAATTTAGAATGGCCATAGGTACTGGACAGTACAGTTATAGTGTTTTATTTTGAAAATATATGGAATATCAATTTATCCAAAGTATTATCATTATATTTATATCCATGTTCTAAAAAGTTCTAGATCAGAAATAATTAAATGAATAAAATGTAAGTAGTATTATGTAAAAAGTTTTTAAGTTATTAAAAGTTTAAAATGCTTATATGTTTCTGACATATAAGCAAGCTGACAACTGTTTTACTTATTTGTGACAAAGGTTGATGATATGATTTAGATCCTAAATGTCCCCCAAAGCTCATGTGTTGAAGTCTTGATCCTCAATGCAGCAGTGTTCAGAGGTGAGACTTTCTGAAGATGACTGGATCACGAGTACTCTGACATAATAAATGGATAATCCAATTATAGATTCATAGCTCAATGGACTATTGGAAGGTGATGGACACTTTAGAAAATACAGCCTAATTGGAGAAATTAGGTCACTGGGGATGTGCCCTTGAAGGATGTATTTTGTCTCAGACCCCTTCTCTATTCTCTTAGCTTCTTGGCCACCAAGAGGTAAACATTTTTTGTATCATGTGCTTTTATCATCATGGCTTGCCTCATAACAGGCCCAAAAGCAACCTTGCCAAGTATCCATAGATTGAAACCATGAGCCAAAGTATACATTTACTCCTCTTAAGTTGTTATCTCAGGTATTTTGTCAGTAACAGAAAGCTGACTAGTAAAGCTGACAAAAAACAAATTCAGAATTCAATATATTCTTAAATTCAGAATTCTAAATCATCAAAACATACCTGAATGGATGACAACAAAATTGACCCAGAGCTTCTTTCTGTAAACGTGCCAATTTTCCTCCTTATTTTTTATTATTATGAAACCCAATTTGGTATTTTGGGGACAGAGAACTACCAAATGGAGGCTTTAGGTAGGGAGTAGAATGGGGGATGCAGATTGAAAGAGATATTAGGGGAATATCATATACTACAACAGAGAAAGGACCCTCTCTCTCTCTCTGATTTTTTTTTTTTTTTTTGGTACCAGAAATTGAACCCAGGAGCACTTAACCACTGAGCACATTCCCAGCCCTTTTTATTTTTTTGATTTTGAGACAAAGTCTCACCAAGTTGTTTAGGGCCTCACCAAGCTGCTGAGGCTGGCTTTGAACTTATGATCCTCTTACCTCAGTCTCCCAAGATGCTAAGATTACAGACATGTACTGTGCTCAGCCTCTGAGAATTTTTAAAAGCTCAATAAGACTGTCTTCAGGACTATTAAACTAACTCTAGAGCTTCACCTACAAAAGGACATTCATTACCTGAGTAATCTACAATGTGTGTTGGAACTCTCTCGGGGGTGACGTCAGCTGGAATGGTGATTTCTTCTGCCCGAGGAGGAACCTTTTTTGCAAACAAACGCAGAAAAGGAAAAAATTACGGGATATTATCAAATTCGTTAACAGATTATATAAATTTATTTATATTAGTCCCTTGTAAATTCATATTTTAACTTTTTAAATTCTTATTTTTTTTACTTATCATAGATGCAAATATATATGAAAAACATGATAAAAACATTTTTTAATAGCATAATAAAAACTAAAAAAGGTTTTTCTTTTGAAAAACAATGCACATTGGGCTGGGGATGTGGCTCAAGTGGTAGTGCGCCCGCCTGGTATGCATGCGGCCCGGGTTCGATCCTCAGCACCACATACCAACAAAGATGTTGTGTCTGCCAAAAACTAAAAAATAAATATTAAGATTCTCTCTAAAAAAAAAAAAAAATGCACATTTCTACTTATGTAGGTAGAAGACATACTAAGGACACTTTTTATCTGATGTAGACAAAAACAATTCTTAAATTAATTTGGTGTTTCAAACATTAGTTTTTAAAATATATTATTTTCATTCTATTTTGTTGAAGGCCTAAGATACTCTACAGACAAGGAGCTATGGTGATCCAACACAATTTTCAGGAGCTGGAGGTGTAGCTAAGTGGTAGAACACTTGCCTAGAATGTACAAGGCCATGGGTTCCATCTCAAGAACTGAAAAAAAAAAAAACCCACAAAAAACAACAAAGCAATATTTAAATTAATCAGTAAATTATCAAATTAACTTCTAGAAGTTAACTAGTTGGCTGCCTAATGTGCCATATGCTTAATAATCTCATTTTTCAGCTAGCATGTTGGTACACATATGTAGTTACAGACTCAGGAGGCTGAGACAGGAAAACTGCAAGTTTGAGGCTAGCCCCAGAGACTTAGCAAGATGCTGTCTCTAAATGAAAATTTAATAAAAAGGGGCTGGAAAGAAAGAACCACTTAGCTCGGTGGTAGAGTGCACCTAAATTCTACCAACTGAGCTATGTCCCCAGCCCCAAGACTATATATAAAAAAAAAAAAAGAAAAGAAAAGAAATTAGCAATTATTTTTTAAACTGGACACAATACCTTTATTTATTTATTTATTTATTTATTTATTTATTTATTTTTATGTGATGCTGAGGATCAAATCCAGTGCCTCATATTTGCAAGGCAAGCGCTCCACCACTGAGCTACAACCGCAGCCCAAGACTATATAATTTTTAAATTAATTAAAAATCTCTTATCCATACTCAGGAGGGCAATGCTAAAATAGTTCTAAACTAAGTCAAATTTTTGCAGAAAACCTTTAGGTATTATACCTCTTTCCCAACTGACTATAAATTAATGTTAACAATTCCACAAATGAAAATATACTTACAAACTAAGTAATTACTTATTTGACTATCTTATTTAAGGGGGCAGGAAGCAAAAGAAACAATGAATGGTCATATGGTTGTTGTGGATGTTGAAAACACTATCATATGGAAATGTAATTCAGTGGGAAAGTACATATTTAGCATGCATAAGGCCCTGGATTCAGTTCCCAGCACCAAAAAAACCTAACACAGGATACATCAAATTTCTACCTGAACAATGAAATTACACTGTTATTTCTACCTAAAAAAGAGCAAAGAAAGGGTAAATGCAAACTGTGTTACTAATAATAATATTATGTAAGAAAAAAAAACAGAAATCATTTTCATTCTATTGCACTTATCCCATTCCCCATAGAAATAGCCTAACTTTTAGCTAGCAGCCCCTCACACTAGAACTTTGAAAGTGGAAATAAATATATACTGTCAGTCATAATAAAACCACCTGATTTTTGGTGGCACTTCACTATTACTAAGCTCATCTCATTTGTGAGCAAAGGAAGAATGAATTAGTTTCTTCATTTGTAAAATGAGATAGGTAGATAAATGTTTCCAAATATGTGTGTTAGAATTCTAGTGGGGGCTGGGGATGTGGCTCAAGTGGTAGCACGCTCGCCTGGCATGTGTGCGGCCCGGGTTCGATCCTTAGCACCACATACCAACAAGAATGTTGTGTCCACCGAGAACTAGAAAATAAATATTGAAAATTCTCTCTAAAAAAAAAAAAAAAAGAATTCTAGTGGTTCTGCAAAAACACTCAAAAGAGTGAGCAGTGGAAAACAAGCAGAGATCCAGGTTTTTCACCCTAATTTCAACTCATAGAATACTCATCATCTCTTTTATTTTGGGGGCTTATAGGTAACATTTTATTTTTAAGAATGAGTTATACAATCTCATTATCTCTTTCAACTTCCATTTTACAGACGAGACAACAAAGGCACCAAGATGACAAATGTCCTAGACAAGGTCAAAAGCAGGAAACACAAAGGACTTGGTAAACTTAGATCTAGTTGATTCTTTCTCAGATATGCCTCTATAAACTAATATAAACCTTTAAAAAGTTTCATCTGGGGCTGGGGTTGTGGCTCAGAGATAGAGTGCTTGCCTAGCATGTGTGAGGCACTGGGTTTGATTCTTAGCACCACATATAAATAAATGAATAAAAGTCCATCAACAACTAAAAAAAAGTTTCAACTGTTGAAAAGGAAACATTTTTTAAAAAGTAAGAGTTATTTCACTTTAACTTACTTTTGATAATTTTTAAAAATATTCTTTAGTTGTAGATGGATACCTTTATTTATTTATGTTTATGTGGTGCTAAGGATTAATCCCAGTGCCTCATACACATGAGGCAAGCTCTCTGCCACTGAGCCACTATCCCAGCTCTTGACACAATAACTTTATTTATTTTATTTATTTTTATGTGGTGCTGAGGATCAAACCCAGTGCTTCACATGCATGAGGCAAGCGCATTATCACTGAGCTATAACCCCAGCCCTCCAGCCCTTACTTTTGATAATTTTTTTAAAAAAATTCTAAATATGGAAAAGAAGTCAAAATGTTTACCTCTTCTGGAAATTCTTCACTGACCAGAGACATAATGAGTGATGTCTTCCCAACTCTAGCTGTGAAAAGAAAAATCATCACTTTAATGAAAGTGTTTGGTTCTATATAAGCTCAAATCCAGCAGCCAGAGAGGAACTATATTACTTATTAGCTAAACTCAAAGGCATCCAAATTTAATAAAATATTTAAAAGCATACATATACATGTATACACATATATGTATATATATTATATATGTAATTTTTAAAAAATAGTAATAATAAATCTGTTTCATATTAATATTAAAAAACCTCCAATGTTATTTTTGGGAGTTCTATATAAGAATCCATTGTATAAAGTTTTATAATTTATTAATGTGATTTCCCAACAGTGAACATTTGGATTGTTCTGGAAACTGTTCACTAACCGAGACATAATGAATGATGCCTTCCCAACTCTAGCTGTGAAAATAAAAATCGTCACTTTAATGAAAGTATTTGGAAACAATCCACATGTTCACTTTTACAAACAATGCAGTAATTAGTATTTTTACAAAATAATTTCCTTGTAGTGGAATTTAAGAATTTTAGTTATGATGCATGATTTTTGTTTTTAATAAATTATTTCTAAAATAAACCAATTTATATCTTCATGAACAGAATACCAGTGCTTTATTTCTTTACATTCCTACATTCTTTCTTTTTAAATATATTTAAAACAAAAAAAAAATCTGTTACATTTTCCATTTTAAATATATTATCTTTAAAATCTTGATTTTTATTCTGAAATTTGACTTGTATTTACATAATTTTTATTATCATGTAATTACTTTTATTAGACATTCAACTGTTTATCATCTAAACAGAGGAGAACAACTTGCCTATTAGCCTCTGCCATAGTAGCAAATTATAATTTTCAAAAGTAAAGTCTAAATATGAAAGAATAGATATTTTTAGAGTTAAGAACAATCACAATCTCTTCCTAGATGACTAAAGGAAAGGGCTATAATCAATGGTTACACCACAGGAAGGAGAGGATTTGCTGTGAACCACTGAGTACTAGTGGACGGACAGATTAGATGTTTTAATAGATGTTTTCGAGCTCTGATTTCTACAAACCTTCTCTTGTGTGAGAAGGACTGGGCCTTTTTCAAGTGGCTGACCATAAAGTGTGACTGAGTTCCTACTACATCAGTGAGTCCAAAGCCATGATCACAGAATTGCTAGAACCTAGCAGCAATACCAAATTATATAGCTCTTCACAAAATTTTCAGATAGGGAACCTGGGACCTACAGACAAAAATTTTCTCAAGATGTTACAAAAATATTAGTTGCAGATCTATCTGCAGATTGCAAAGTCAATGCTTTCTCTTATGCTATATTTTCCAAAAAATTGCTAATAAAACTTAATAATATAGACAGGAAATGGTGACTATATCAGCATGTATCACATACATAAACAAATATCACATAGTATAATTAAAATATTCACTAATTTAGCAGGGCAGAGCAATGTACCCCTACAATCCTAGCTACCCAAGAGACTGAGGCAGGAGGAACACAGGTTCAAGGTCAGCTTCAGCAATTTAGGAAGAATTTGTCTCAAAATTAAAAAAAAAATGAAAAGGGTTGGGAATGTATATCAGTGGTAACGTGTCCTGGGTTTGATTCCTCATATAGCAAAATAAATAAACAACAATTATGCAAGTCACCATTTCATTGGCAACCAGATCTTGTTCAATTTTACTTTATTAAACTTATTTTGAAAAATTTCAGATTTACAGAGAAATTGCAGAATACAAAGTATTCATATCTTTTACTCAGATTCCTCACATACTAACATCATTTTACCATATTTATATTATCATTTTCCCCCTCTCCCATCTCTCTATATATCTTTATTTGTATCTATTACAAATAAGTTTACATAAGACCCTTTGAAAATAAGTACATCTTTACACATATTTCCTGAAAGCAAACTCCAATGTATATTGTTAACAGTAGGAAATTAACCACAAACACAATACTATCATTTCATGTGTCTGACCATTATCCTTTATAGAAAAGGAAAATATTTATTTTTTATAGTCTAAGATCAAATGTTGCTTTTGTTGTCAATCTGAAAGAATTTCTTAAAAAAAAAAAAAATATATATATATATATATATATATATATTTTAATTGTAGATGGACACAATACCTTTATTTTGTTTGTTTATGTGGTGCCAAGGATTGAACTCAGGGCCTCATGCATGCTAGGCAAGCACTCTGCCACTAAGCTACAGCCTCAGCCCTGAAAGAATTTCTTAATCTTCTTTTCTTTTTTTTTCCTTCCTCCCTTCCTTCCTTCCTTCCTCCCTCCCTCCCTCCCTCCCTTCCTTTCTTGTCTTTCCTAACATTAACATTTAAAATTCTTTTAAACCTTTGGGCAGGAATACTCCAGTATGTTTTTCTCAGTGCATCATAGCAGACAGCAGATGATGTCAATTTGCCCATGACTGGGGATGTTAGCTAGATCACTTGGATATGGTGATGTCTGAGGTTTCTCCATAGGAGAGTTATTATTTTTCTTTTGGTAATTAACAAGTATCTTGGAAGGAGATACTTTGAAACCATGTAAACATCCTGCGAGCTTCTTTCCTATGGAGTTAGGGTGTGCCACCACCTTGGTTCATTGACATGTTCACCAACCAGGAAGCTCTCCTGGGCTTTGATGTTCAGAGGTTTTATGGGGGTCTTGTTATGTAGATGTGGCTGATTAAATCATTAGTTAATATGGTTGAATTCAAACATTAGTCCCTCATTCATCCTTGGGGGACTTGGTTTTTCTGGTGACTAACCCCCTTCATGAATGAGTTACCTCAATAGGATGAACTCAAGTATGGTTGAAGGGGTTCATTATTCATAACAAAAACACTCCTATCATTAGGAAATTTTGAAGCTCTGTGCCAGAAATTGGGGACAAAGACCAGATGTATTATGTTGTATATTACACTCTCTAATGTTATTTGATTTCAAAAACAATTTTTACTAAAAACAAATTGAGCAAAATAATTTTGGAATTTTTAAATTGCCTCAGCTCTTACCTACCATTTACAGTTCTCCAGTAGCTCTTTTTTTTTTTTTTTTTTTTTTGTATCAGAGATTGAACCAAGGGTTTGCTCAACCACTGAGCCACATCCCCATCCCTTTTTAAAATTTTGAAGGTCTTGCTAAGCTGCTTAGGGCCTCGATAAATTGCTGAGGCTGACTTTGAACTTGTGATCCTACTGCTTCAGCCTCCCAAGGCTGGGATTATACTCATATGCCACTGCACCTGGCCAAAGAATGCACATAACCTGACATTCTTTAGATAAATTTCAGTTACAATCTGTAAATTTAGAACATGCCAATTTTTACTATCAAAAATTATTTTTAAAATAGTATTTATTAACCTTTTCTAGTAGTAAAACTTTTATTTTAGAAAATTTAGAAAATACAAAAAAACAAATAATTACAGTTACTTTTACTTCCGAGATAACCATTCTTGGTGTTTATATTCTTCTTTTTTTAATATTTATTTTTTAGTTGTAGTTGGACACAATACCTTTATTTTATTTATTTTTATATGGTGCTGAGGATCGAACCCAGAGCCTCGCACATGCTAGGCAAGAGCTCTACTACTGAGCGACAACCTCAGCCCGTTTATATTCTTGCAGGATTTTTCCTATTCACATTCATAATTATAAAATGTGGTCATAGGGGCTGGGGTTGTAGCTCAGTGGTAGAATGCTTTCCTAAGCACTGGGTTCAATCCTCAGTACCACAAAAAAAAAAATAAAAAATAAAAATAAATAAACAAATAAATAAATAAAGGTATTGTGTCTATCTTCAACTAAAAAAAATTTCAAAAACATAGTCATATTACATGTGTTGATTTATACCTGCATAAATAAGATTTTGAAAAGTACAATGGGGCTGGGCATGATAGTACAGCCTGTAATCCCAGCAGCTTGGGAGGCTCAGGCAGGAGTATCAAAGCCAGCCTCAGCAAAAGAGAGGTGCTAAGCAATTTGGTGAACTGTCTCAAATAAAATTAAAAAATTGGGCTGGGGATGTGGCTCAGTGGTTGAGTGTCCCTAAGTTCAACCCTCAGTACCAAAAAAAGTAAAATGGAGCAATTTAAACCTCCAAAATAATTATGATTGTGGATTATAAGTCATAAAATAGAAATCCATGAGTCTATAAATATATATGAATCAGAAGGAAAAGTTTTCCATGTAGTAGAATTCTCATTAGAAGTACAGAGAGAAATAGAAAATTAGTACTATCCAGGCATGGTGGTGCATCTGTAATCCTATTGATTTGAGAGGCTGAGGCAGGAGGATTGCAAATTCAAGGCCTGCCTTAGCAATTTAGCAAGGAACTAATCGGCTCAGGAGGCTGAGACAGGAGGATCTCGAGTTCAAAGCCAGCCTCAGCAATAGTGAGGCCCTAAGCAACTCAGTGAGACCCTGTCTTTAAATAAAATTCAAAATAGGGCTGGGGTTGTAGTTCAGTGATCGAGTGCCCCTGAATTCAATCCTCTGTTGGCCCCCCCAAAAAATTGAACTGAATTGTAGTAGACCCAGTAGATATCAGAGAATTAGTGTCAGAATACAAAGAGGAAGAAAATTTTGTATTTATTAAAGTAATCTATGGGGGCTAGAGTTATAACTCAGTGGTAAAGCACTTGCCCGGCACATGTGAGGCACTGGGTTCGATCCTCAGCACCACATAAAAATAAATAAATAGGGCTGGGGTTGTGGCTCAGCGGTAGAGCACTTGCCTGGCGCATGCAAGGCCCTGGGTTCGATCCTCAGCACCACATCAAAATAAATAAATAAAAATAAAGGTATTACGTACAACTAAAAGAAATAAATATTTAAAAATACATAAATAAATAAATAAATATAAAGGTATTGTGTCCATCTACAACTAAAAATAAAAATAATTATATCTCAAAAAACTGCAAAACATTGTAGCACATCTTTTATCCAAAAAGAGTAGTTATATATACACACACACACACTCATCCCCTGGACCTAACAAGGAAAAACACTA